CTCAGGAGCTGTTCCTGTTCCCCAATACATTTTCCTACTCTTAAAAACATAGGTGGAAATTTTAATAACCGCAACCTTCTCATCTTGGATAACTGGGAGAAGTAGAAATGAAACAAGTGCTTTTAGTCAGCTCAATCTATTCACTTAGAATTTACTGAAGAATAATCTATTGAGACTTAAAAAGAACTGACTGTCGGGTCAATATTCACTAAAAAAAGTGCAGTAAGGTCAAAGGATGCTTTTTCAGTAATATTTTCTTTGCCCTTGCCAACTTTTAATCTAAACTATTGGCGAAATCCCGCATTTATTCTGTGTATCTGCATGCTTTTGACTGGTTAACATGTTAATCAAGAAAAGGGCTCTGTTGTCCAACTATTAGATAGGTTATTTGTAAAAGAAAAAAATATTCGTCTATGAATTTGTGGGTGAAGTGTTTCCAAGAAGAAATTATAAATGTGTCCTATTTTAGGGCTCTTCTATTATGAGTGACAGGTCTAACATTCTTAGAACCTTAAAAATATAATGACTACATATTTAAAAGCCTCCAGGGATTACTGTACATTAGCAAAGACTCAGTAAATTATTTATCTATAAATTAATCTTTCTAAACAGATTTCCACCCCTTTCAATTTGAAAGCTAAACTTCTGAGTCTGCACTTCAGCAACTTCATATCTGAAGGGCCTACATCTGTACAAACATTTCTAATGAAAACACTAAGACAACCCCTAGAGAAGCAAATAAAATGAGATTTAAGCATATAGCGGCCTTTCTACAGTTACATTCCTAACAATAGTGGATTCTAATTTGATGCCAAACTGAGGTTATGTAACAAAATCAGTGAGCAATCTAGTTCTTTTGGTTTTAGTGAAAAATTTAGGTGTTTAGGCAATTCTATTTTCCCATTTACAAAAAATGAATGAGCTACCTGTGTCTGTAACCCACGGAAGCAGAGGCCCACTGGTCAGGAAGACATGACTTTAGAACAGGCAGCAGAAAAGCACAGGATAGAGTTGAAGCTCCAAGGCCAAGGGTATAGTGGCCAAAATACAAATTTCACAGATGGATTTAAATTTTCAGGTCACAATTAATAATTATTCAACCAGACTTTATTCAACACTCCCACACAAGTCACTTTTATCCATTAACAAAATCACCAACCCAAAGTAGGTCTACCTACCAACAAAAAAAGGTATGAAGCCTAATTTAGAGAAACAGCAATCTGTTGTAAAAAATTCTTATTCTAACTTATGTCCACGGTATGAACTATTATTAAATGTAAAAAAAGTGTTTTTTGTTTTACTGTCATTATGCTTTTTCAGAAAAGTATGACAAGAGTTAAATTTTATATAATAGTAAGGCATTAAAATTTTAAGTTTCAAAGATACTGCAATCTATTTAAGAGTAGAAATTAATTTTCATTAATTTCAGACTTTGTTAACAAGTGTGCTACAAATATATAATGAAGTATTTTTGTTGCCACCTTTAGGTTGGTTTGACAGGTGACCCTGTGTAGAAAACATGCACTGTGAGAATACTAGGTAGGCAACGTTGAAGCAAAGACTGACGCGAACTTTTTTCAATTACAATAAAACATATAAAACACAACATTTACCACTGTAACCATTTTTAAGCATATAATGTTTTTAAGGATATTAAGCATTCTCTGACCATTTTTGCTGTCCCCAAACCAGCTGGTGAATTTGCTCAATTCAGACAGAAATCACAAACTGGCAAAGCTGCAGCCCTTGGCTGTTCGGGGATCTGGGCTTTGACTCCCAGGAGTTCTGGTCCCAGAAGGTCACCGCTGCACTTTGAGTGCCAGTGCTGCTTGTCCATTCCTGTTCCAACGCTTAGTGTTACAGTTGCAGGCATCTCCCAGCCACGATTCCCAGCTGGGATGCATATCCCCTTTGATTGCTTTCTAGAGTTTTCTAGCCACTTCCATTTCCTTTCAGGAGGCTCTTCCACGCTGTCTGAAGCCCTTCAGGTCTCCATAGGACTCTGCAACCCTTCATTCTCCACTGCCCTCTGGAGCTCTTCAGGGCTAATAGTCCTTAAGGTTACCAGCTCTTTCTTATGAAAACACACTCCACACACTCCACAAAGTGAGACTCACAAGCAGGCAATAGACCACCAGAGCGAAGCTTTTATTGGGACCTGTGTGGTACCTGAGGCTGGTAGTTCACTGGAGGGATCTCTCCTGGACTGAGCTGAAGAGTATGAGGGAAGTGTTTAAATGTAAAAAAAAGATCAGGATATAAGTATACAGTCTCCTGAATTTTGTGGACATGTTTTGAGATCTTTGAAGTAGCAGGAGAGGGAGCAGGGACACCCGTGATAGGTCCACGTAATGAGCTCACTGTAGCCACGGCAAATGTCTCTGAGTAGCTATGGGGTGTCCATGACCTCAGCTGTCATCGTGACAACTGGGTAGAACTGTGGCAGAAGTGGCTGCTTGGTGATAGATCTTTTACCTTTTCCAAGGAAAAGCAGGCAGAAGTTATGAGTGCGGCTGGTCTTCCAAGGAGATTCCTGAAGGGCAGCCAGAGTTGTCCTTTATGGCCCATTGGGGTTTGGGATTTGGGGATAATGGCGCTGGGCTCTGATTCCTGGTGCAGGAAGGGCTGTTGCAGCTGTCTGTGGGGTTGTGACGCTGTGAGAACTGCAGGAGTGAGTGGTGATTGGTGGCCTAGGGAGAGGTTGCTTCTGACAGGAAGATGCTGTAGCTAATCAAGCCAGGTTACCAAGGTGCAGTTGGGCAGAAGTGTAATGGCTGTCTGTGAAGTCACCCCGTGGTTGTCAGTGGTAAAGGGAAGATTGGGGATTCTATCTCATAGCCACAATCCAGGGCATTTTGATTGTCCCAAACAGAAACTGTACCCATTAAAAAGCAACTACCTCCTTGATTTCTGGTAACCCTGTCTCTGTTTAAACTTTTCTAAAAAGTAAAAACAGACAGACAGAACTACTCAATAGGCTGTGTTCAGCGAAGCCACACATTCGTAAGCCCATGAGACCAGGGAAGCCTATTTTCCTAACATCCCAGTCATCAGAATATTGTATGTCTACTTTGTTAGGCAGACCATGCGCAGTATTTACTTCTTGACCTACTTAGCAAGTAGTCAGCCTCTATGTCTGTGCACTTTGCATCTGGATTCTGCTTCTGCAGATTCAACCAACCAAACCAAAATATTAAAGAAAACATTGTATCACTCTATGCTGAACATATATGCAATGTCTGATCATTATTCCCTAAATGATACAGCATGAAAATGACTTACATAAAGTTCACATTGTGTTAGATATTCTATGTAATCTAGAGATGATTTAAATTACAAGTGAAAATGTGCACAGGTCAAGTGCAAATATGACACCATTTTATAAAGGGCCTGGGGCATCCACAGAGTTTGGTATCCAAGGGAGTCCAGAAATTAAATACTCACGGACACTGAGGGGCAGCTGCGCCATCGGAGGGTCAGTTATGTCTGAGTGCCTACATGTGGCGGGCACTACCGCAGTTCCAGCACTTCACTGAACATAAGACAGACCTGGGCTCTGCCCTCATAGGACTTATGTTCTGGTTGGCTATTTTCCAATACCTTCCAACTCTACCAAATACTGAAAAATACACAATTTTGCTAAGATAACAATGACATGATTCTTCAGAAATGTTACAGAATCAGATCAAAAATGTCACTTTTGACCAATGCTTTAGCAGATGATGGATAAAAGAATAGCTGGGTCTATTATTTTTTTTTTGTTTTTGTTTTTTTTTTTGGTTTTTCTGGTTTTTCTCCGGTACCGGGAACCGAACTCACAACCTTGCGCATGCCAGGCAAGCACTTTTGCCGCTGAGCTAAATCCCCAGCCCCATGGGTCTATTATTAACCAACTGTAAATATTACATCCTCGTGTTAACCTTCTGGATCTTTCATTTAATTCAACATCTCATGAAATGTTATATAACATAGAAATAGCCATAGAAAAACTTTATTCTAGAATTTTTAACATTTAAATCTTTCCATATCAAGTGAAATATCTGAAACAAGTGAATCCATGGAGGCAGAAGTACACTGGCAAGACACGAGGAGTAGGGGAGATGGGGGGCGAGTGCTGCTGAGTACCAGCACGCTGTTCGGGTGCGCTCACAGTGTTTGAAACAGTGGCGATGGACGCATAACCTTGTGAATACACAAAAACACACAGAATTACATACTTTCAAACAGACTTTTTGAAGGGTATGCAAATTATATCAATTTAAAAATTCACACTAGGTAGTCAATAAAACACAGCCATAGTGAGACCATGTTTTACACTTCCATATACAGCTAGCAGTGAGACCTCCCTACAGACTCTAAGAACCAGGTCAAGCCATTCGGAGGTGCCTGCAGACAAGCAATGTGTAACAGAGTCATCTGTGAACTTAGATTCAGGCTGGCAAGCATCTAGACAGGGCAGTAAGTAGAGGAAAAACCACCTATTTAGATTAGATGGTCTCCCCCTCAATTTGTGCAGAGCCCTGATATATCCTTAAATTACACCCAAACTTCCCATATCTGTCTGAGCAACAGTAACTCAAAACCAGATAGAAATTACTGGGATATTTCCTGAGAAGGAAACCTTGAAGTTTACACAGACATGGCATCAGAGATACTTGGTAGACATGACATACCGCGTCTATGGAATACATGTGAACCATGCAAACTATGGACTTTCTCCATGGAACAGAATCATAGAAATTTTAGGGGTAAATTATATTTCATCTAAAAATATACGATGAAAGGTTTCTTCTTATACGTGACAATTAGGAAACTTATGTCTTCCCACTCATTTACTGTGGTCATTCTCGTTAATTTAATAAAGCTATCAATTTAAATATATACAGTGCCAGTTACAGATGGAATGGCTATAGCTGAAGGACTACAAAAGACTGTTAAAATTTGAGGAAAACATAAAAAATACAGTGACTTGAAACAAAAATGACGGACTACTCAAGAACTCAAAGATGTATACAAATATTTTATTTGTTACACTGCAAAAGCCAAAAGACTGCTTTATAGAATGCAAAGTAAACCACACATACATTTTGGAAAAGCTTTCCTTATTTCTTTAAGTCTAAGGCCCCCTCTAGTGTTTGAAAAGCTATAGGCATCACACAATGCTAATGAAGGTTATAGTAGAGACCTTCCAAATCAGAAAGAATACTTTTGTTCCATTTGTGTGGCATAAAAATCAATGAGCGAAAAACCACCATAATTAATATTTCAAATTCCTGCTATGATTAACTGACTCATTACTCTCTCCTGCAGTTATTTACTGGTTTCAGTTATTTACTTTCTCTGTTATTTACTATTTTGTTTTTGTTTTCTTTTTGAGGATTAATACTTTGTTAATAAAGGGAAAACATATAATTAGGGACTTCAATTTCCCAAATAAGAAATACACTTTGTTGAATATAACAGAACATTAATGTTACTGAGTAACCTATTCTGCTTTTATGGAAGTTACTGATACTTAGAATATACTTCCTAAAGTATATACTTACATTTGGGAGTCATATTTTTAAACCGTTATATTTTAAAACCCAACTTAATTCATGAATGTGCTAATAATCTTTTCCAGTGCCATATGGAGGGTGTGTGTGTGTAAAGTGCTGCTCTGTGTAACAGGGTGTGGAGAACTCTTTAAGGCTTATACAGAACAGCACTACACAAGCCCACGACCTGATCTCATGTACTTCTGAAACAGGCTGATTAAACCTGGAGTAAAAAATAACTGTTTCATTCTTTTCTTTCCAGCTAAATCCTTTGTGTCTGTTTTCATATCATATTACAGGGGGCTTCACAGCTAGTTTTTCAATGACGAAAATAAAAGGAAATCTCTAATTTTAACAAAAGAAGACAATGTAGTATTGAGCAGGCAACTGATGGAAAAGAACCATGTGAAGCAAATAATTCATGTTTTCAGAAGTCAAGAATATACTGAAAATTTTAAAATTCAATAGTTCTTAAAACAAGTTTAATATGTATTAACTTTAAGCAAATGATTAAGTTGTCACTCAATATGTCATATGGTGTCTCCACATTGATACTACTTTGTTTTCAAACTTGTCCCTTGCAAATAATTATAAATTAAGGGAAAAAGTCATCTGAGTTAAATAAACCTGCTACATTTGTAGTTAGTTTCAATTTTTAAGATATTTACACTCAAAAGGAACAAGACACAATATTATTAAAATGCAACATATCCTTTTGGCTCAATATGAAAAATTATATAACTAGGAATTACTGCAGTCATTTCTCCTAGAACAAACTTAGTAGAAAGCTTTATAAAAGTCAGCCATCAGATTAAAAACTGACAAACACTGAAATTTTAGAATGGGTATATAAAATGTAATTAGGAATAAAACCAGCATAAGAAAGGTAGCATAAAGTAAATAAAATCAAATAAATACTATACAGTGACATACAAAATTCTGCTTATAAAAAATTGAAAATAGCATTTAAAAATACCCATTTTCTCCATTTTTGAGTTTTACAATAAAATTAAAATTTAAACCCGAAGTCTCTGTAAAGATCTTCCAAACATTAATTACTGGCACTGTTTTTAGCCAAAACTTCTCTGATCTGTCGGTCGAGTTCACTTATTATTCGATCTTCATGATTATACACACCCGTTCTCATCAAAGTATCCCTTTCCTCTATTAACCGAGTCAAATAGTCACCCAAGCCTTCTTCCAATGCCGAGCCATGCAGGCCATCCATTTTCCCACTGGAAATTTCCCTGGAATCCTGGTACTGTTTCTGGTCCTGCTGCCTTAACCTGGTGAGTCAAGAGCAAACACCACGCTAATAGACAACAAATACTAACAGCACTACTGTTTTTTCTAACAGCACTATTCTAAAACAAAATGATTCAACATTAGAGTAAGTTTTAGTAATATTTTTAGGAGAACACAAAAAGTAATGGCTTGGCTAGTCAAGAGTCAAAATATTTTAAAATGCAATTTAAAAATAGTAATTCTTCTAATAATGAAATACACCAAAACTACAGACATTGTAGGGCTGTATAAAGAAAATTAAAAATCACCTGCAATCTCATTATCCAAGAATAACCAAAATGACTGCCATTTTTCTTTTTAATTAAAAATGTATACATATACTTCTCATGTATAGTTTTCTAAAAATTAATGATATATATGAAATGCATATACATACTACTTTTTTTACTTATTTCTATTCTCCTACAATTATCATTCTTCTTAATGACTTCATGTTGTATCATCATTTAATCATCTTGTATTGTCTCCTTTAAGCTGTAATTAAGCCTTTGCTGTGTAGGATAAAGCTTTTCTTTAAATTCACTCAACAGTTATTTACACCAAACAGCATCTGGAGATACCGCAATGAATCAAAAGGAAACAGCCACACTGTTGTGGAGCTTACACCACCAGTCACTTGTAGAGAATAAAACTAAATATAAGTGCACGGTTCAAGGGGTGTATGCACGTTAAAGGCAGTATACATCTCCAAGTTACTTTACTGTTGACCTCATTTGCCAACAGACTTTAAAAAATCAGGTGCTGCTCTGGGATTTGGGTGGTTCCAACAGATGACTGTTGATCAAGACGCCTTGACAATGGAGGAGTGGTAATAACAGCATTACTATCATCTGCTAAGTAGACTGATTTTGGAATGTGGAATGTATTTTAATTTAGAAAGGACAATTAAGATTAACTTTATATTCATCTAATAACTGGCTATAGAATGCTTTAATTTGCAACTATTCCTAAATCCTGTCTTGATAAGACAAAGCAGTTGAGTGTAAACCTCTGCTTTGAGACAATCTTCAGAGTAACCTGGCGAGAAGCAAGTCCACTTCTGAATTTGCACAGGGGTCTGGGAGGCAGGGCAAGGCTGTGAGGAGCGAGCCCTGCCCCACAGCCCAGGAGGACTGGGTTCAGGGAAGGCAGGCCTCTGGGCAGCGACCCTGGCATCTCTCATCAAAGAAAAGGAAACTCAAATGTACAGTCCGAGAAGGACTCCAATCTCTATCTGTTCTCAGAAAAAAAGCTTAAAGTAGTATTCTGAGACACAGGAGGTACGTTCCAAATTCTCCCAGTGAATTTGAGCAAGCATGAAGCTATATTAAGGGTGGATTTTTCTTTTTCTTTTTTTGTGGTGATGCTGGTGACCAAAGGAAAGGCCTTGCCCATACTCAGGCAAGTGCTCTATTACTGAGCCACAGCTTCCAGCCCAAATGTAGATGTCCGAAGAGCTGTTTCCTCTACCCTAATTCTTACAGTCTCCTAGGAAGAGGGGCTCTGTGAGCATGACATACAGTGCCTTCATATAGATTAGAAACTTTAACCACTTCCCTTTCTGTATTATCTGTTTATTCATGAAGGATAAATGCAATGTTCACAAAATTGATAGAATATCTCTACCAAATATTTAATAAAATGCAAATGATCAGTCATGATCACAACAGGATTTTGGAACCTAGAGCTGAAAAAGCCCTTATTGTTATTAAACAAAATACTCATAATATTCATGACAAATGCTATATCTCGACTCCATTCATACACTTCCTGCCAGTAAAACTGTTCTGTTAGAAAATTTTTTTCTATATTAAACTTCTCATCCCTCTTTATAATTTTTCCTGCCCAAGGAGGGAAGGCCACTTTTTTTTTTAGTATGGTAGCCCCTCAGATATTTGCAGACAGCTGTCTACTCTTCTCCTCAAGAGTTCTCTTCTCCAAGTTCAATATCCTCACTCTCCTAAGCAACTGGATGACGTGATAGCCTCTTACTGCCCTGCTAACACTGTATGGGAAGACCTCTATAGGAGCAGCTGATTTGGTTGAAAGACTGGTTACATACTGGTAAGAATACTTCAGAGATGATTTTTGTAGTATTGAATATTGAATACTATTTCTACTATAACTGCACCCATTCTTTGGGAGTCAAGACACACTATTATCAGTGACTACTTCTTCACATAAACTGTTCTATTATGTCTTACCTAACACTTCATTTTTCATAGAGGACTGATTTTTGCCCATATTTACATATCTAAATGGTTAGTTTCAGCTCTCTGAAACCTAACTTATGAAGATATTAATGAGATATCCAAATTTGATAGTTAAAAGTATTCTCCACATATGCCACCCAAGCACAGCACGTTTTGATGCTATATATAACAGTAAAAATATGAAAGGCAAAATCAAGTATAGTTTATTAATGTACAACATCATCCAAATCTACAACAGTGTAGACACAGAATAAATATTTGTTGGAAAATCTATACCAAAGACCACTACATTGACTTTTTTTTTTTTTTTTGCCATGAATGTAGTTATTTCAAGTCTGGTTGGCTCTTCTGTTTCTATATATACCATTAATATTTTAAAATTTATTTTTGTGTGTATATTTCAGAATTATTGCTAGTACTAATTAAATGGAATTTTAATTAAAGGGTAAGATATTTCAAATTTAATTATATTAATACTTAGGACAACAGCTCATATTTATGACATTTTTACTGTGTCAGTTAAGTGCCTTATATGCCTGTCTCTCTTTTTTTAGCTTTATCAAGGGACTGCTACATCTTTGTTAGTGCACAGCACACTGTCATAAATTGGGTTAGACTGCCAAAATAATACCATAAACTGTGTAGCTAAAAAAAAAGAAATTTACTTTCTTACACTTCTACAGAAGTCCAAGATCAAGGTGCCAGCATAGTCATTTTCTACAGAGCTACATTCCAGCTCTGCCTCACACAGTGGGGAGAAAGACAGCAAGCACATCTCCTGTTTCTTCCTATAAGAGCATTAATTCCATCTTGAGGCTCCACCTTTGTGGCCTCATCTCCAAACAGCATCACATCAGAGGTTAGGGCTCCAACATGAACTTGGAGGGGACAGAGTTCAGTTCATATACACATATATTTGATGAAAGTATCCTATGATATCTCCATATATGAAAATAGTTTTTCAATCCACAAACATCTGATTCTATTTATTTAGATGTTCTTCCATTATATCTATAAGCATATTTTTGTTCTCAGCACATACATCTTATATATCTTTTATTAGATTTATAACTTTTTTGAGCAGTTGTAAATAGTACTATATTTTTCATTTTGGCTTCTGTGTTCTTTGTTCCTATACAGGAATACAACTGACTTTTTATGCTTTTAAAAAAATCTAGCCTTGGTATTAATCTCAAAAAAGTACCAATAGCTGCTAACTTAAATTATGGAAATATGTTTACATACAATGATGTAATTTTTCATTATAATAAAGACAAAATTTTATACATAAAAATGCAATCACTGTATTAAATTGGCTCAGAACTGCATTAAAGTGAAGTTAGAAGATATATGAATAAATACCAATTTTAAAGTCAATTCTAAGAGCCATGCTTACAGGGCATAATCTGTACTACTTTTGTTCTCTTTTATGGAACAGACATTATTTGATGGCTACAATGTTGTAAGCTTGGGAAATGTTATAGATTACTGAATTGCAACATGACCCTTGCCTTCCAAAATTTTGTTCTCACCTATGGCACTGAAACCGAAAGAAGTGCTGTGTATTTAGGACTATTCTGGTGGCTTAAGACAGCATTTCTGATTATAAATTTTGTAGATCATACCAACTGAACCTTCCTAATGTCTTATACACTTTACCCTTGACAGATCTAAAGTTGTACCTTCCCTGGACCAAATGACCCAATTAAAAGGCTGTCTTATTAGAGTTTCTGTAGGAAAAAAGGAATGATCTTTTCATTATTATACCTGTTTAACTCATTTCTTATATCCAACAGTTCTTGTTGCTCAGTTTTTACTGTATCTTTCTCCTCCGCAGCCAGGTAACGCAGTCTCATCTGCTCCAATTCCTCCTGCTGCTTTTTAAGACGGGCCATTTGACTTTCTTGTTCTCTCTTGAAAGGAAGAAGCCAGACACCTCGTATCAGGAATATATACATTTCATATAACTTTGACTTGTGGTTATAATCCTATTTCACAATATATGTGATACAGCCATGCACTGCCAACTCTATAAATCACATCTACTCTAGGAAAGTCCAAGTTCTCCCTGAATACTTTCTCTTTTTGCTATCATAACCATTCATGGCTGTATTAATGACTGAGGTCGACTGAACATCATAGGACAACAAACCCGAAGGCAAGAAAATGACTCCTGTCAACCCAATGAACTGCCATAGGAACAAGTGGTAAGAGTAACAAATGAGAAATGGTTAATTTACAAAGATGCAGCCACAAAATTTAATGGCTGTCCCTGTTATTAATTCCAATCCATCTCAGTTAATATGTGCTTCATTCTCTACTCCAGGCTCATTCAAAAATCTATACATATAGGCCTTTTATTTTGCTCTTTATATTTTGAGTATCTCATATGAGAGAAACCCTTTAATATTTAGGCTTGTGAATCTGATTTATTTCACTCAACATTATGGTCTCAAGGTACATCCATTTGCTTGTAAATGACTCAAATTTATCCTTCTTTATGGCTGAATAGTACTCCATTGTACATAAATACCAGCATATCTTTATCCAGTCATCTGTTCATGAATATATGGATCACTTCCAAGACTCAGCTATTATGAACTATGCTGCCACAAGCATGGGTGTGCATGGATCACTATGATATTATATCTTTAACTCTTTGGGACGATACCTAGGAAGGGAACAGCTGGGTTGAATGGACAGAAATTCCACTTTTAAATATAAACACTTAAGAAATTCTTACATATACAAGAAATCTTTTGTACTATTTTATTATAAGAAAAATCTAGAAAAAATATGTCCTTACAGATTGTATAAACTGTGATGTATTCATGAAAGATGATTCCCTATACATATGTCAATAAACGATGTACAATGTTGCTTAAAGATATATTTTCAAAGATATATTTTTAATGTCTTATAAATACAGATTAATAAGAATCTTGCCTTTGAAATGTATTTCACTTAGGAAGTAATTATTTAAAAAGAAAGGAAAAAGTATCTGGAAAAAATATATCAAATTATTATTGCTGGCTGAGAGAAAGATAAAAGTATTGGTGATTTTTATTTTCTATGTTATATGGTATTGTAAACTTTGCATTCTTTTAAGATAAGGGAGTAAAAATATGATTGCAAGCAGGGAAAAAAAACTACTTTAGGTTGCTTTATAAAACTTTAGTAAAATCTGAAACACTTTTCTTCTAAAACATACCAGAAGATCCTTTAAATACCTTAATGCTGTAACTAAGCATGCATTACCAATAATCTCACACACACACACACACACACACACACACACACATAAATTAGAGGTCAGTGAAAGAAACTCTGTCCATTCCAGGTGCTTGGGCTAAAGGCTCCTCAATCAAGTGAATTTAATCTTTATTTTGCCTTGGCTGCCTATAAATCCAGAGAGGAGATGTAAACATACATACACTAGACTAAACAGAGGCTAAAAAGTGGCCACTACTTACTCCCCCACTCACACATACCATGTAAGGCTGTGGGAAAAAACTTACAGCTAAACTAAGGAACTCAAGTAAAGTTTTCTGAAAATAACCCAGAGCTGACAAGCCAGTAGGAGGGCCTGGATGGTTTCAAGACACAGTTTTTAACAAAGACTTGGACCTCCAACTGTTTTCTTAAACAAAGATTTACATCCCATTCCTGGCTAAATTACTTATAAATTAATCAAATTAATTACTCTGAGTGGATAAGCAGGAGGCTGGACAAGATAGTGCTGATGTCAGCTGATGAAGTCTGTGTTGTTTTAACTAAATTTATCAGCTTAGTTTTAAACAGATCTACTGTGCACAAATATGGTAAAGGACCCACACACTACCCATAATCTTAGTTCTGTTTTCTGTCTTGGGAACAAACATATACTTAGTTTCATATGTGACATAAAGAATGTTAAATTTTCTACAACAAATTCATATTTTACAACAATGATCCAGTCACTTAAATGGTGGCTTTTATCTGCTTACACAACTATATTCTAAATGTTCTTAAGTATATATGTAAGTATGCTATTTTGTCCATTAGGACTAAAGTAGACAATCTTCACTCAGGTATTTGTAGACTAACAAGTATTTGTTTTGGTTTTAAAATATGTCTACAGTATCTTTTCACAAAGAAGAGGAAAAAGGAAACTAAATTGCTCTATAAGTGTCTAAAAAGTACAATTTTTAACTATGTCCCAAGATATTAAACTTAGAATCTAAGGGTACAATTTCCTTGTTTTCTAAATCAAGACTCCTTTTATGTTATACTTAGTTATATTTTACAGCTGTTGCAGTTTCAGTTATAGAAGAAAAGCTTTACAAAGCTTACAACTTTTATGGTTGTGAACCAGAAAGAGTTTTTTTCCCCTAAATAATTAGAAGTTTATGATATTTTAATTCACAAATTGACTATGCTAGGTCACCTTGGAGTAATGGAAATCTGTCTAAACATTGTTTTGGCAATGGGCATCAACATTAGATCTTATTTCCAAGCTTTACCAGCTGCTCTTTGTCATCGACATTTATTAACAATCTCAGATACGGCTCTCACCATCTGATCTGTACTGCACGAGTGTCTTGGAAGGCCCTCCAGAGGGTTCTGATGTGACAAATTACTGGCACAGAGTGCAGCCCCATGGCTATTCACCAGAGGCAATATAAAATTAACATGGTCCTAATCCAATTTAAACAAGAACTTGCACAAACAATCCTCTGAACAAAACCAGATAGACAATTTCAATTTCATATTCAAACACAATGTGTTTTTAGTAAAAACTTTTAGGGAAAGTTTTTTGAAGTAACTATTGCACATAAGAAATGTGCCATTTTGATCTAGTTTTAATTTTAATCCTTCAAAAACAGTGGCAAAGCAAAATTCACTATGGCAACCCCCAAATCTATTACTTTTCTTCTTAATTTGTTGCATCTCTTTGTGGTCTGGAGGGCCAATGATTCTGAGTGACTTCAGATTTGTTTATAGTGTTTCTAAAGCACAAAGTCTGTGGGATAAGAAATGAAACTGATGCACAATGAGAAGGAATGAACAATAGTGCCCTGAGAGGCTCAAACTCCTACTTTCATTTTCTTTCAGTTTCATATCCTTAATAAATGTATGGTAACCCAAGGAAGGCATCTGAACTTTTGTGACTTCTCTTACTAGGAACACATAAAGAAAACTAATTTGTTAATGGTTTTGGGACTAGAGGGTAGAAAATACATAGGAAGAAAAAAATTATAGATTACACAGACTATAAAGATTATATAGATAGAAAATGGATGAAGTGGAAAGATCCTATACATAGGAAAATATACGAAGATACCTGTGCTGGGAAGTTCCTGGGTGAGAGCCTTCCATACTGAATCTTCCTTTTAAGAGATCACCTCAATATCCCAGAGTAAAACCAACAAAGAGCTATGAATTTAAGTACCCTACTGAAACTTCACATATAGTTTCAGTGCTGAAAAAATTAAAGAAGAATATAATCTACAATATATACATATGAATATGACACCCACTTGAAGTAAAAGGAAATGTTAATTATAATGAAGCTGTTTCAATAATTGTTAATGATTAATCATTTCTTCCTCCAAAATACTTTACTCAACAGCTAATACTGTTATATCTTTTCAACTAATTTTGTTAACTGATCATAACTAATCACCGCTGTAGTAGTTTCTTATTCACTACTCAGCTTTAACAGCAAACATTACCTTTCACATGCTCTCCATCCACTTTCTACTTTAAAGCTTGAAAGGATTCCCAATCTAACATTTTGATTTGAAACATTTATCTTTGAGATACTCTTTTAGCTTTGAGTGGTAAATGAACTTTAAGCTCACAAGAGACAACTGCTGTATCCATACTATCTACCACTGTGCAAAGGGACAATAGGCTCTCTATAAGCACTTGTTGAACAAATAAATGAAACAAATGAATTACCTAGTGATGTTCTTCAGACTCAATGCATTCACATACCTTTATACCCAGACTTTAGAAGCTCACCTGACACTTGCTTATTTGCATATTTAGTCCTTGTTTTATTCTTCTGCGCCATTTCTATAAAACATGTTAAAACTACCATCCAATACAAACTACTTTTATTAAACTATAGTCTACCCCACTCCCCTACCATTATCACTGCAAAATAATATCCTCATTTTCCATACATTTTCAAGTATTTCTCAGTGCCAAAACCTTTACTATTTGTTCTATTCATCAATACTCAAGTCTACCTTCTAATAAGGTCCTCATAGATTACAAGCAAAAATACTACATAACAGTTTTATCATCCCCTTTTAACAGCAGCTATTACATTACCAAACACTGTACTAAACGCTCTATAGAACACTTATTCCACTTCAGAACAACTTGTGAAGAAAAAACTCTCACCATAGAAATACGACTAATCAGAGAAATTCAGCTCGGGAGGTCACAGTGATAGTGAGAGGCAGAGCCAAGATTCAACCCAACTCTCTTGACTCTTGCCATGTTTTTAACTACTACTTCTGCTGCTTCTGATAAAGTCTGTATCCTGTTACTTTAACAGCTTATTCTTATCACATTATTTCCTTACTCCCAATTCCATAAGAACTCCTCCTGCTACACTAAATGTAACCTAGATATCTTCAAGTCAGGACTTCAAGTGCTTTTTCCCTTCAAGTCATTTCTATTCTCATTATCCAAGCTTGCCTGAAGGTCAGTGTCATTTTCCTTGCTAGGACATGCCAACAACTCATAAGTACTTCTGCTGAATACTCTTGTCAGAAACCCCTATCTCCTAACCCTCATTTTATTCCACTTAAAATTCTTTTATTCCCAGACTTCCATGCACTAAAGCCATAATATTATGAGAGGGAAAGAGCCTGGATCCCTGTCGAATGACTTCAGCTCTAGCTCAGTCTCTTAGTGCCTGTAGGATGCAATTTAACTTCCAGCCAGCCTCTCCACTTATAAAACAGGAATAATAGTACCTGTACAAAGGGATATTAGTCAGTATTAACTGAAAACATCTGAAGGGCTTATGCAGCACATGGCATTGAGCCCTCAATAAATACTAACCATTCTGCCAGCACCATTATAATGATCTTCACTCTTTTCTCTAGTTATTATTTTCTTCACTAGCTTTCCTTCCTCCTCAAACATAAGAACTTCAGGTTCTATTTAGCACAGCTTCAAATATTATATCATCTCTGTAGAGGACTCTGTGTCTTTTCTTTGGTGCAATCATACTTCCAACAATAGATGCATGTTTCTTTTTTATTCTGGGGGGCTTTTTGAGACAGGGTCTCGCTCTGCAGTTCAGGCTGCCCTTGAGCTCACTTTGTAGCCCATGCTGATCTCAAATTCACAATGATCCTCCTGCCTCAACACCCCCCAGTGCTGGGATTACAAGTGTGCGCCACCATGTCTGGTGGTACCAGATACTTATTTCTTACTGCTTGTGGAATTTTTTACGAAAAAAATCAAGATGTTCACAACTGCAAACCTTATCTCCTTCCCGCACTCCCACCAGCTTCTCAGTAACTGTATTTCCAACATGGAAATTCTCTTTCCAGACTATGGTTTGAGTCTTTGGCATCATTTGTGACAAGAATCTTCTAGTTGCATTCTTCTGTTTCCATTTCAGTTCCAGTCCATATTACCTGAAATGGCATCTCAAATCGACCCTGCTCTGCTTTCAGAAACAGGTTATGATTTCCCACTTAGGCTTCTCTGCTATGATCATTCTATATATGATATTTCCCCCACTACTTCCCTAAGTCACAACAGGCTGCTATCTAAATCTTGAACCTCATCCACTCATCTCCAGAGGTCCATCACAAATACCTTCTCATCTGCGACACCTTTCCTAAGGCTATTAAATAGATGTACTTTCCCTTCCTGGCTGTGCATGGCTTTTTTCAGGGCTTTTACTATGAGGCAGTAAATTTTACACTTACAGCAGTTTCTTTCTTATTCCAAATCCAAGCTCACAAAGAAGAAGGTCTGTGCCTCACTTACATCTGTATGCCCTGGATACTGCCTTGAATACAGGTTCTTAGTACCATACATAATGCCCAAACTGTCAGCATTAAAACAATAAGCTGAATGCCTCAAATCAGAAAACCTAAAATGCTCCAAGTCTGAAACATGAAGTACAGACGTGATGTCGTAAGTAGGAAATTTCATACCTGACCTCACGACAAGCTATGGTCAGAACACAGGCACACTAAACGTACTATATTCACACTAAAAAATTACATTCAGATTATATGTATAACATTATGAAACAGGAATGAATTGTGTGTTTACACTTGAGTCTATTTCCACAATATTGCATTATGTATATGCAAATATTTCAAAATCTGAAAAATCCTAAAACCAAAACACTTCTGGTCCCAAGCACTATAATAAATGCAGACTGAATATACAGGATATATAGAATGGGTAAAGAATATACATCCTATATATTCAATCTGCATAGTATTATTTCATATCTACTGGTAGCTACCTATCTCCATTTGTAACACAACCTCAATCTATCAGCTATGTAAAGTATTACTTTTTAATTTTCATGTGGTCTGGTATACTCTAGGCATAAGTATCATACAACAAACATATTTAACAGTATATGATGGTTATAGAGATACATTAGGAAAAATACAAACTTGAAAGACACTATATACCAAATTTCACTCAGAATAAACCGACATACTAAAGAAAAGCAAATTTAGAATAAACTAACCATTATTGATTCTTAAAAGTTTTAGGTCAAATAAACTGATTCAAAATAAAAATTCTGTTCACATTTTCTTTGATTTTAATCATTTGAAGAAATTATGTCAAAAATATCTATCAGTATTTGTTGTTTAGTAGTAGGAAGGAAAATGGTAAGACAAACAGGAAACTACTATCATAGATTTTAAACTCTTAAAAATTCCCTTATGATGCCTTTCCCTTAATTGAATTACACTATTCCTGGGAATAACATTTGAAAAGTTCTTAAATTTAAGGAAATATTAAATGTAAATTATCCTTAAACTGTGACCTCCTCATCCTGCCTCAAGTAGTTCAACAGAAAGATTAACACTAAGGAAGAAAGAAGTGGTTGTTTATAAGTGAAACCAAAACAAATTATCCCCAATTTCTTCTGGAAAAGAGAATAGCTAAAAATTAAAAACAAAAAGCTCTAAAGGTTTGAGTTTTTAATTATGAAAAAGAAGCATCTTGCATGTAACACATTTAAAAAAAAAAAGCACTGAAGATTCAGATGCAGACATCTGAACATAAAAGATGTTGCCAAACATTCAAACTTGTAAAGAAACAAGGGAAAAAGACATAAAAAGAATAATGTATAAATTATGTACCTGTTTAAGTCTGGCAAGCTCCTTCAAAGCTCGTCCCCATTGCTGCTTGTAATGCAGTTTAGACTTAGTTGCAGATTCCAACTTTCTTTCAAGTTCAACCTAACAGTGATTAAGATCATATCAAGTGAAACACTATACCACTGTGTACAATCATTGAAAGATAATATATACAGAGAGTCTGGCTTAAGAAAAGAGTTTATACAGTGTAACATACGACATCATCTAAAACTGTTATATAACTTACTATAAATATTATGGCACATGAACATTTTCTTGTTTAAAATATAGTCTTATTTTTATTGCCTTACAGCCTATACTAAAAAGAACTGAATCGGTCTGAACCTCCAGACAGTTACTGTAAATGTATTTAAACACTGAGTGAAAAATACATTTTTTACAAAAAGCAGTTCTAGCTGTTAACATTCCAATTCAGCTGATACTTTAAATCACAGAACCCAAATTTTCCTTTTGGAGGCCTATCATTATGTGAAATTTTGTCTTACAAGGAAGAGAACTAGTACAGACACTTCTGTAACTATATTTTGGCAAAACCATAGAACCCTGGAAGCAGTGAAATGTTTTATCAGAAAGCAATTTACTAAGAGAGTACAAAGTCAGAAATATTTTAAGAATGTTAAAATAAACCCAAGAGTAAGAAAAATAATGTTACTTAATAACACACATGTAACTTTTTTCTCTATTTTTCCTTAAATATATAAAGAAAAACACTGAAGTGATTCAATTAAAAATATGGTTATTTATACTTGCAGCAGGCAATCTGTTGTGCATGAACTGAAGCCAACTTGGCTAGGTTTTGGAATGTACTCAGTGTTTCAAACCAAGCACCAAACAAATTCATGTAGCCAACAGACAGTTTTACTATTAAGTGATAATGTAATAATCTTCTTGAATTACAGTAAAACACTGTTACTCTGAATTGGCTGAATTTTTTTATATCAAGTCTAGTTTTTCCCATACATATAACTCCAAAAATTCTACAAGAAAACAAATTGAAGACACTATAAAAATTTCAACTTTAGAAAACTCATATGAAAATAAAATGAAGGGAAAAGCAGACTGCCAAATTCCCTTCACAAAAGACCAGAACAATCTCTTAGTAATATATGACTACATCAAGTCAGGATCTTTTCTGCTTTACAAATCCCTAATGCTTGGATTTAGCTGTGTTGACATTTCACAACTAGACTCAAGCGTCTTAAGTTGAATAATATTGCTGAGATTATTGGAGATAATCTCTTCCACTTATGCCCCAGAGATTTATATATATTACTTGGTAATTTAAGAACAGGCCATACCTCAGAAGAATAGAAAAAAATCTTTGTAGCTGTGGAATAAAGCAGAAGTATTTAATTATAAAAAGAGATTATGTCCATGGGTCTTAGAAAAGGTCTAGTATCCAAGGAGGAGGCCTAAAGAAGCAGCTTTATCAGTAAAAAACTGGGTAGGTTCTACTTGTTTTGCCACACACTCTGCACATTTGCATAGTTATTCACACCAATTTAAACCACAAGTACACTTCTACATGTCATTTTAATCTTAACAAATGAATCTGTAGATAGCAAATTTGAGACAGCATCTCATTTGTCTAACTTATTCCTGTAGCAACCTCAGTGATTCTAACTTTTATTATGTTTCTTAAAGGACACAAATGCCTCTGCGATTCTAAAGAAATATATAGACCCACTTCCCAGAAAAATGCACCAAATGAAAATCTTGATAAAATTTCAAGAAATTCAAGACCTTGAGTTAAAAACCCCTTGCACACATAACCAGAATTTTGATATGATTTTTAGGGTATTGAAAGACCTGGAGTTAAAGGCCCTTACTGTAAACAGATTTGAGACTCTAGGAACCTTTGTACTTGTGTTTTTATTTAAGGTGTTCTTGGTCCATGACTAAAGTAATATACTCCTATAGGACAATTTCTATAATCCTGAAAAGAAAGGTCAGCTCAGGATCTAGAATCAAGAAGACTAAAAGCATAGATCAGCACTGGTATCTTTGTCTCATACTTCCTACCCCAGGTCCAGCCGGTCACAGGGAACTAGAGATGTCTCCCTTGAAATAAAATTGTCAAATTTTGTTCATTTGCATTTCTACACCACTTCCTTAACACATACTCTTGGGCTCATAAGCAGGCCTTGGGAATAAGCAGACTTCTTTCTCCAGCTTCAGATCTATCTACAAATCCTGTAAACCACCATTACATCAATTCACTCTCTACCAAACAACCTATAGCTACAATGTTAAGTCTCCTGTCCTCTGCCAGGAGTCAAGGCACTCCCCTAAATACAATTTCCATAACACCTACTCAACTTGCATTTTTAGTCTTCCTCAGCAAGAAACCCAGTACTCCAACCAGGTCTGTGTCCCTAGTCTCCAAATCCTCCTCACCTAAGTTACTTTCTGAGCCTGCTAATTCTTTTTCTCTCTGCTTGCCTAAATCTTAAGGCTCAGTTCAAATTTACCTATACATGAGGTGCCTTAAACTACTAGATGCTGAACACCAAATGGCTTCTCTTCATCACAAAGATTTCATCATTCCTTTGTATCTAATTATTCAGTCATTTGTTGCTTTGAGTCATCTTCCTAATTACATAACAAATTACAGTATTTAAAAGAAGTCCTCAAAGGCTACTAGTACTCTCTTTCCTTCTATCTTCCCCTTCGAGTAGATACAACTGTTCTTAAACACTCTACATACATTTTAGCTTGATTAAAAAAAAAAAATCTCTGGGTTCTTTCAATGTGTTTTCTGTCTTTTCAACCTCTGTGTGCCCTAACTACTACATTATATGCTTTGATTTTTTTATAAAGTCTCAATTTTCAAACTATATAAGAACATTCCTAGATAAAGGAAAATCACAAATTATTTACTACTAACTTCTTATATAATAAAGGAATTGAGAATTATATTTCATTAATTGTATCTTTATGTTAACTTATTTTTAGACCCTTTCACTGAAAGATTTTTGTTATACTGAAAATAGGTAATCAGAAAGAGAAAAAAAAAACCTCTCAATCAGATATAAATAACCAAACTTTCAGAGTAGCTCAGATACTTTTTCACTTATGTCTTCTTTTTGTTCTCTTTCCTCTTTGTTACTATTTAAAGAAATAAGATTCTGCCCTCTTCTGGCTCCAAAAAGACTTACAATTTTAAGAAGAGCTGAAAGAGCTTCGTTTTAAACAAGAACTTAAATGGTAAACATTCATTAGTTCTAATACAGAGGCAGTTCAATTATGTATTTCTCTTTCAACAAGTTCATGGAACAACATACTTTGAATATGTTTAAAGCTTTTTTATTCTTTTAATAAAAATATAGATGGGTAAATTTAATCATTTAGAATTTATTTTCATGATGAATATTATCTAGTTAGCCAGTACATATTCAGAGATGACTAAAATAAGGTTTCTGTTTTAATTTTGATAACTGGTCTCTGAATTTCCTCCAAATAAAATGGAATATTTTTGAGATCTACTTGATATATCTTGTGACAATTCAAAATATGAGCACTTCAAATATTTCTGGTAGATAGATCAGGAAATTCATATTTATGAACAAATATTTTAATACTTGGTTTTATCAAAAAAGGGATGGAAAAAATTGAGCTAGATTCAAGTTCACTGGCAGAAAAATGGTCAGAAATGAATAAATGAAGAGACTGTCCAAATATATAAGAAACAGAATCAATTAGCTTTGCAACTAAATGAATATGGAAATAGGAAGACCCATAGACAGCCTGGCACTTGACAAGCTGCAGAAACATTTATTAAGCTCTGCAGCACTAGAGGATAACAATTCTTAGGGGAAGTGACCTAGTTTAGCTTTGGACACTCTGGGATACTTCGATGAGCAAAATTTTCAACTTAAATGGTTGAAGAAGTCAAAATTATTTTCATTATACTCCTAAGGAAATGTCTGTCTTCTCTACTTTCCTTCTTTTATGAGTGTACAGTGGAGTTTTCCAGAGGCTACATGTGTGGTAGGTATCACAGTGGATTGAATACAAAATCAGACAGTAGAATTTAGCTGTCTTCTATTACCCAGATACTAAAGAGACTACCAAAAGGTCAATGTTACATCTCACGATTTTTTTTTTGTTTTAGAAAATGGTTATTCTTAATAAAAGTGTTATTTATATTGTTATATACGGGGTTTATTACTTTAAATCATTCTAGTTTCAACTTTTTTTTTTTTTGGTACTGGGAATCAATTCAGGACCTTGCACTTGCCAAGCTTGTGCTGCTGAGCTATACCCCTGGCCCTAGTTTTAACTTTTAATGCACTGGTAATCAATAGATACAAAGTGCTTTGGAGTTCTCAATAATTTTTAATTATCAGATATCCATCACTAGGTAAACAAATCATCTTTTTCTTAAAATGTTGGATATATAAAGTACAAAAAGTGTGGAAAATGTTCTAAGGCATTCAAGAAGGTATTTTGAGTAAGCAACTGATTATACAGGCCTTTAGCTAAGGAGCCAGGACTTGTACTCTTCCACACATTTTCTACATACTAGTTCAATTTTTTTAAAATGTAAAAATTGAGTTGTTCTACTTACAATGCTTTAATGGTATCATACTATTTATTTAAATTTTATGTTTGTTAATAAAAGGTAAATGTTAAGAAAATAAACAACATCCTGCTTCTGCACTAAGCATTTTACAACTATTAACTCACTAAAATCCTCTATCAATCTTATTAATTCCACTTCAAAGATATGGAAATGAATATAGTGAAGTAAATGAACCTATCCAAGGTGACACGGTGAGTGGCAGAGCTAGACTCTGAACCAAAGTTATTGTCTCCCTGTTGAATCTGTTAACTATTATTATGCACAATTCCTATTAGATTTAAAACAAAACCTAACTAAACTCCTTGCCCATCAAGTTGCATTTTTAAACTCCATCTATTATGTTCTTCTTCCATCACACTCTAAAGCTGGCCTTCTTCCTCAGAGGATCTTGGCTTAGTCTCACCACAATGCCTTTGCTCGCCAAACTCTTTACGTCCCTGGTTTCTCCTCTTCTCACAAATCCCAGTACAGACTGTCATTACGTTGTCTGTTGGACACTGCGCATTTGCTACTGTCCAGCCCCTGCACATTCTGTTTGTGAGGGAACCCCAATATAAATTAGGGGCAAGACTGACTTTCAACCATAGAAATCAAAAAAGCATGGTTACCCCTCTTTCCACACTGAAACCTAGAGGAGGTCTGTGATGTAAATGAACACTCCTCTCTAGGACATTAAATCTGAAAGGAGTGAGACATAAATAATACTCATAGTGGTTACCACAGAACTGACAGTTCAGTGATGTGACTCTGGATTCAGAAGATACAGAACTCCATGACATGGCAGTAATGGTATCCTAACTAGGCTGCTGTGACCAAACTCTGGCTGTGCCTTGCTTCTCCTGGTTCCTGCCTGAAGTCTGAAACGGGATCTTCAGCCTACTTGACAGTTTTGTGAATTCTTTTATTTCTGTATATGTTTGCTCTAATTAGTGTAAGCTGTAACTGACATACTCTAACAAATTTAAGGACTGACAATGTCTTGTACCTTGAATTCCTGGACAAGTTCTCATTTGCTTTTAGGACAACACAGTGAAATATTATTAAACTGTATAACACACATTAGTTTCTGACTTTAAAATTTTATCAGTGTGACTACTTAAGTAGCCAAGAAATTGACAGGGTACCTTTTCTAAGGTGAGAAGATTTATTTCAGACTGTAGGCGGATTTCTGGTTTGTTGCTTTGCTGATCCTTGAACTGTTGGAACTCTTTTTCCAAAGTTTTACACTTATTTTCAGCGTCATTAAGCTATATTTAAAAAAAATTTAGACATTTAAAAACAAATCATACAGCAAGTTTCATATTTTAGAACTGAACAGTATCTTATTCTAAGGCATGTTCATATAAAAATTCAGAAAATAAAATATAATGAAAAAAATGATGACTGTAATAATTTTAATAGGTAAAAAGAAATTGAGGGTCTAGGAGCTAGTAAGCTAATCCGTAGCAGAGGCAAAACCAGAACTCAGATCTTTTCATTAGAGTAAGGCTCTAATCAAAGCAGTCAATATTCCATAAATTAAAAAAGAGGGGTAGCCTCCCTTAACTAACACTATAATTTCCTTTTGAACAGATACCCTTTTCAAATCTGAGGGTTTTAAAAAATTAAATACAAACTAGAATCATTAGACATTCTTTCCAAAAACATATGACTGTCCATCATTAGGTAAACCATTATTTTTTTTTCTTAATACTTAAGACTTAACTAAAGTTGAAATACTTAGAAAAGTGGCAAAATGGAATTGAAATCATCACTGATCAAAAAGAAAACTTCTAATCAGGATGTGCCTAGTATCTAATGAGCTACTCTGTGCATGGAGTTTCCAGACCACTTAAGTTTACAAACAGAAACCACTCTACAACTCTTTATTTCTCTATTTTAAACAAAAAGCACAATAAACTTAGTATCACACTGGGTAGTTTCAGGTACATTACCGTGAGCAATTACTGTTGTAACAATCAGGCTGTAAAGCAGCAAGCTACCAAGGCATGTCAGATTCTTCTTTCTTTGCTAACTAGCCCATAGACTACAATGATTTTGTGGTACTATACCTGAGTTTTCCTCTACTTGAGTACAGATACACAGATACTTTATCTTCATCTGCTATTGCTGACAATGTTTAATTGTTTCTTTCACTGGTGTAAACAATTATATGTACACTACATATAACTTGACTTAACCAGATTTTCTATACCTAAAAAGTGAACTGTCATTACGGGTTATGTCTCAAAAGTCCTCCAAAGTCTCATGTTTTTGGAAGGTGAGTGGATTATGGAGGTGCTAATGAGTTTAGTAGCTGAACGTACTACGTGAAGATGGGGCCTGGCGGAATATAGGTCACATGACCTAGAAGGGTATATTCTTGTCCCCTGATCCTCTTCCTTTCTCTCTGTGCTTCCTGGCACTGTTCCTGCCTTGAAGCAGCCCTTCCATAGACTGAATCTTCTGAAACTGTGAACCAAAATACACTTCTCCTTCAAGTTGTGAGCATCAGGTATTTTGCCCCAGGCATGTGAAAGCTGGCTGGCTAATACAGAAATTAGTACCAAAAGTGAGGTTGTTGCTATGACTATACCTGACTAGAAGCTTTTGGAACTGGCTTGTGGCAAAAGCTTGGCAAGGTTTGGAGATGTCAGCTAGAGACTGAGAATGCTGTAAGCCAAGGCTGATGGGTGATGCTGGTTTGAGCTCAGAAAACGAGAATGCTAATAGGAGTACGAACAGTAAAGGTGACACTAGGAGTTTTCAGTTGGGAATGAGGAGTCCTTTGACAGTTGGGCTGGAGGTCATATATGTTACACTCTGGCAGAAAATCTGTCTTCATTTTGGCTATATCCTGAGACTATGGGGGATTGAGATTAAGGGTGGTAGACTAATTGATCTGTGGATAAAATTTTACAGCGACCCAATGTTTGGGTTGGGGCATGAGCACTGCTGGCTACTTTTAGTCAGATTTACAGTGAAAATCAGGAAAACAAAAAAATTAAGAGTTGAATGATGTGATAATTTGTAGTGTGGCCAGAAAGGAAGAGCCTGCAAAGTTGAGGACTTGGAGAACATGGTCACTGAAAAGATAAGCATAAAAAATAAGGCAGATACTTTACACTGAGACAACATGAAGATGGCTTGAAGTTATCCAGCAAGAGCCCACCTGTCACAGGCTCAAATGTGCAAAAGCTAAAGACTGCATTGAGAAGAGAAGCCGAAGGAGTCTAGCTCATTTGATGCTACCTACAAAAGTGTTTCCTGGAGTTCAGCCATCCAAGCACCTCAGAGACCACTGCAGCCATAGTCCAAGGGGCCAGGCTCCTGCTCTGCTAAGGGTAGGCCTTGGCATCATCCACATGCTGCTAGTTTTTCAGGCATGCAGAATATAAGAGTTGTGGGGTCACAGAGGCATCTACCAAGATTTCAGAACAAGACCTGGGAGGCTAAACAGCATGCCCAATTGGGCAATATATGAAACTGTCAGAGCAAAGCCAAAAGTGCAGCAGAGACCCAGGAAGCTGGATGTGCCAGGAACATAAACTATTTGCTAAGGAAAGCAGTAGGCAGTGAGGCCAGAGTCAGCCTGGGAGATAGGCCATGGGGGTTGCCACTGGCAATGGTGTAGGGGTGGGGCCAGCCAAGTCCTTTGGAGCTCTTATCTCACCACAACCTGCCCTGGTTACTGGACATAGAGCCACAGGATTTAATGTTCAGTTTGCTTGGTTTTGGTCTTGTTTTGGCCTGATTCTTTTCTATCATTCCTTTCTCCCCTTTAGAATGGGAACACTTACCCTGTATGTTGGAAGCATTTTATTTTAGTTTTGATTTTTACAGGGGTTCACACCTAAGAGTTTGCCTTCAGTTAGAGACTTTGGACTTGGACTGTTAAGGACGTTGGCATCTCAGTGATGGACTAAAACGCATTTTGCATACCAACAAGGGTATGAGCCTCTTAGGGGCCAAGGGCAGAATATTACATTTTAGATCTGTAATTCCCCCAACCCCCAATGTCACATGTGTTTGGAAGGTGACTAGACTATGAGGGTGCTATAGTCTTATCGGTGTTCTTTAGAGGTAGCACCTGATTGAAGGTAGGCCCCTGGGGGTGCAACTTGGATGTGTGTGTTCTTGTCCCTGGCTCTGTCTGTTTCCTGACTGCCATGATGTGAGCAGCTTTTCTCTGCCATGCCCTTTTATCATGCAGGTTCTATCCTGGAGATTGCCAACCATGAACTGAATCAACTGAATCCACTAACTGGGAGCCAAAATAAATTAATCTCTCCTCAAGTTGTGAGTGCTGGTATTTTATCCCAGTGACAGGAAATCTGACAATTATGAATGTATACAGTCATGGACTTAGCAATCTGGGCATCTTGGAAACTTCTTGCTTTCCAGTTTGCCTTAGAACACTGGTACAAGATGAAAGATGTGTCTTGGGTAATTTTTTTAAAAATACCAGTTCTTCTTACAAAAATGTTAGCTAATTATACCACTATGGGATAGGGTACAAACATGCATTTCCCAGGAGTATCTCTGGTAATTCTACTGCATGTTAAAAGCCTTTGTTTTAGATGGCTAGAGAAGAATTACCTGTAAATCTCATGACAACTGTCCACTTTTTTGTATTTTAAGTAAGAATCCCACAGTAACAATCAAATTTATCTTCAAAATTATGCAAAGAATGTGACTGTTACGGACCCTGAGCCACTATGAAAACTGTCCTTCATGATAGAACACACTGAGGACTTTAAAGACATTCATCATAAATATCTAATTTACACCTAAATTTTTCAAGAAAGGTAAGTTTAATGTTTAATAGCTTAATTTTTTCCCCCTGCAAACAGTTAATGAATCTTTATTGTTGTTGACATCTGTGTTGGGCTTATAGCTATAAACTATAATGGTTTTTATGGAGCAAATAATCTAACACTGATTAAATTATCATGCTAATGAAAATAAAAGCTGATATAGCATAAAGAAAAATAAGAAAGTAATACTTCATAAGAATAGATAACAAAAACTTAACCAAGACTTGTGAGCAGTCAAGAAAGAAAGATTTCTTGGGATAAATGATGCTTTAGCTGAAAACTAAACCCAACAGAGATCCCCAGAAAGAAATAGCACACATGAAGATTGTTTAGGGGAAGTGAGCATGGCATGCTACAGGTCTTGACAGAAGACCAGTGTGGCTTGAGAATACATAGCAGGTATGAAAGTATGGGAGAAAAGGTTGTAGAAACAGTTCAAGTTATGCAGAAGCTTGTGGGTAGTAAGGACACACTGAAAGGTTTGAAAAAGGAGGTTGTCGTACTTCCCAAATTTCAAAAGGATTCTGCATACAATGTGAGATTAGATGGGCCCATCACTGAAATTATAAACACTTACAGAAAGATCAAGTGTGGATGAGAAAACCATTGAGGGTTTAAAATGCCTTTAAGACATTCAAATAGAGATGTCAAAAAAGTAACCCTGTATATAGGACTAGAGGCAAAACAAAGGTCTTAACTATAAATGTAAAAGTCCCAGACACTGTCTCTGAAGCTATGGACATGGATAAGATTATTTAATAAAAAGTAAATTCTGAACTTACAGGAAGGGCAATATTTAATGGCTAGATAAAGTAAGATAAGCCTGCAAGAGAAAGTGAAGGGTAGGTAGAAAGATGGCAGAAAACAAGGATAGTGATGGCATAAAAGTTGAGAAAATAATAAATAAAACCAAAAATAATAATGCTGACACTGTTAGTAAGTTTCAATAAGAGGAGAAATGAAAAACGATCACTGAACCTAGTGACTCAGCCATTGGTGGCATCTTTAATAACTGGCTAATTGGAGTAATAGAGAGAGAAAGCAGAGCAGGATGGCTTAAGCGGTGACTGTGAGGTGAGGAAATGGACATGAGGATGAACAATTCTCTTAAGCAGTGCAGTTCTTAGCCGATTTGGTCCAGGGCTACATAAATATCTACATGTGCAAAGGCAGATTTACCAGAAAACACTTTACATTATAAGTCACCTGAAATAATTCATGCAAATAGTGATAAGGGGAAGAAAATCATTCTACCATTGTGCCCTAGCTTTAACTCAGAAAAACAAGATCCAACTTAAAAGTAAATTTAAATCTCAATGCAATAAATATGATAAATAATCCAAGTCACAGTGAATTTTATCACTTTTTAGTGATCCTTCATAGAATGCAAATAGGCTGTAAAAGTAAGAAGATGACAACCTGCTGCTGAAGTCGGTGTTTATCTTCTTCCAGCTGCCTGGTCTTTAACCTTTCCAGCTCTATTTGGTGAACACAGTCTTCTTTGACCCTACGGATGGAGTCCTGCAGCTCCTTCAGGTTCCGTTCACGTTCCGACTGCAACTCCTTCTTCTCTCTTTGAAGCTTAAACAAAAAGCATCTTTAAGGGTCTGGCCTATGACTAGCTGCATTATACTGCTGAGTAGTCTCTTATACTTGTTTTCTGTTAAATATTCAGAGTATTTATAAATTTATTTTCATATTCTTTTTAGTTATAATTAATGTTTAAGTAACTGATTTTAGTTTTTAATTATCACTTAATAAGAGTATAAAAATCCATGAACAATTTTATAAATTCAGTTGACAACACCCTAATCATTTCAATTTCTCATTTAAATAAAGTCTTTTTAATTATAAAAGCAAATGTGCCTGAGTTTATTTCTTCTATTAGAGACTTCTGATTCTCTGCCTAATCACTTTGCAGATATATTTAGTTTTAAACACCTAAATCATTTAGAAGTCCCCAAAACAATAATGATAAGGTTGGTGTGATCTACCAAGAAAATTTTCAGAGACACTGTGATTAGAGAAAAGACATAAATTTTAAAATTCTAGTTATTTAAAAATAAACATTATGGAAAGTTTTTAGGGTAGCATTTAGTTAAGACTCAAAAAAATTATGCCTACTCATTAAGTAGGTATAATACTAACATAAGGCATCACACTTTCTTGTGATCTCATGTTTAATGGTCAAGAAAAAGAAGAATTCTCTTCTCTCTGAAAAAAAGTTAGGATTGTATGCCCTTGCACCTAAGCTATACTTTCTCTAGGCAGTGTAACCAACTATTCCCTCCACATAATGAGAAAGTTAACTAAAAACTTCCACTAGTATGGAAGTCAGCCAAAGTTGGCTAAATGACAATTAACTTTTTCAAATAGTTTCTCACCTATCCCTGACATATGAAACATATCTTATTTAGCCAATAGCAGTTCTGTCTATAATGTCTGAGAAACAATTCCATGGAATATGCTGTATTAAGTAAGGAACAAAAATAAGTACATGGTATGAGCTTTACAGATTCTATAAAATAATAATATGATAGATGAGTGATGTACCTCTGATTCTGCACTGGCAAGCTGCTGTTCTCGCTTCTCTAAGTCAATTAGGGTTTTCTGGAGTTTTCCTTCCAGAATACTATATTCAGCCACCTAAAATATAGTAAAAAAGATATTATATCTTCTCCTCATACTAAAAACACACAAATTCAAAATATATATCATTTCACTGGAACAGGTCTAAGAATAGGAAAGGGTCAAATTTACATGTATCAATTTAAAGCAGAATTCTACTGTTCATTTACAAAGAAGACTATCGTGCTTCTACTTGGACATTTCTTAGTGTATTTAGTTTCTCAAGAAAACCCATTCTTCTATTGGGCAATCAGAATGATAGCAAAATCTTGTGCTGTTAAAACCTAGATCTTTAAAATCTTCCAGTATCTTTGTGAAACCTCAGTCCCTTATACTCTCTCATTTTAGAACTAACTCAATTGCTAGATGAGCTAGGCAGTTGCAGATCAGTTCTTGTTATGACTTCTGTCTAGATGTCCCCCTCAAGTGAGAGGTGGGGCTTTGTAGAGGTGGCTGGATCTAGAGTGTGTGACGCTGTGGTCAAGGGTATGGGATTATAAAATTAGTCCACTGATTGGTCGACATAGTTCGGGGTGTGGATAATGGGAAGGCCCACGCTGGGGTGTGCGTGCTGCTTGCCCTATGGGTATGGAGCCTGGATAGAACATGCTTTCTGGAGTAAGATTAGATTAGATAGTCTCATCTTGTCAGTTTTAAAGATGTAATTTATTTCATGATTTGATTCTTAAAAATATCTCAAAAACTTTTGAGATTTTTAACTAACGTACAGGTTATAATCTTCATATATACTTAAAATGTGCTATGTTCTTTTTCATAAAGAGGTAGGCTTTCTCTGATATTCATTTTTAAAAATTAATATATTGTATGGATTGGTAATATATTTGCATATTTCAAAAAAACAATTTTCACCTTACAGCCTTTCTTCCACCTTAACACCACCTTTTATTTCCTCCTCAGCCACACATATCCACTATAATTAGTTTACACCTTCTAGAAATTTTAATAGAGAAACAAGATCTTATCATTAATATGCTCCCTTTTCCCCCTGAATTTTGTAAGTTACTACCTTTTTCTTTACTAGTGATTCTCTTTCTCGGTCCCTTTTTTTCCATTCTTCTGCCAGAGCTTGCATATGAGCCAATTCTTTTTGCTTTAGCTACAAAAGCAAGAAAAATAAAGTCAACTCCAAAATACTCCATATTTTTCAAATAAACACAACAGTTATTTTCAGTTAAGGAACTAATACTGACCACTAACTCTTTTTCAGGCATTCTATTTTAGTCTTTTAAAAAAAATGGAGCTTGCTTGAGCAAAGTAATACTCATCTGAGTGTAATTCCGGAGAGTATAAAAGCTAAGGGTGAATTCCATTTTCTAACTCTCTTGTTTGGACACTGATGGTGCACAGTTCCAGGCGGGTATACTGAATGATGACCCGAAAAAAAAGAATAATCTTCATTCTTAATTTTCCCCAATAATAATGGACAAAATTTAGAGAAATCCTTTGGAGTGGCATCAGCCAAACTGTCACATTTCAAGTATTCTTTTTATTCTCAAGTTTTCTTTGAGAGTAGGACGTGGCTGTCACTCAAAGAAACTAGACAGGAACACAGAAAGATAATCCAGCTATACAGAAGGAAACATACACTAAGAAAACATAAAATAGTTTTAAAGTAAAACTTAATAAGTAACCTGATTTTCAAAAATGTCTTCCTGCATTTCCTTCCACATTTCTAGCTCAAGCGCTGCTTTGTACTCTAAGGTTTCCCGAGGTTCTGCTTGGATCTCTGAAGGACAAGGTGCTGGAGGAAGAGAAGATGGCTTCTGTTGTACTGTAGATAAACCCTGAGGTATGAAGGAAAGCATACGTTTAAGACCCAGTCACATACACACACACACACACACACACACACACACACACACAAACACACACATGATCATTTTTAAAGAACAATTGGGTAACATTTGACTACATTTACCTGAGATGAATCAGAGACAAAAATCTCACGCATTTTTACCAGTCCATAATCTTCTAGGGTCACTGTGTAAGAAAGATCTATTATCCTATTATTTGACCTATAAATGAAATAAGAAGTATTTTCAAATTCATGGAAACACTTTTACAGTATCTTCCTTTTACTTCCCCTGTGCTGTGTGTTGAGCGTGCAACATTTCTTGCAGCTGATGCTTTTGCTGCTGAAATTACAGCAGCTCTGCAGGGCTGAGACTTACTGTATGCACAATTTTACTTAATCACAAATACCCTGATAAATGCATAACCTACATTTACTACAAAATACCTAAGCAGCTACATAGTTTTTGAAAAATTAAAAAGTATAAAAAATGAAATTTAAAAATTTTCATTTCTACATGTACTACTGCTAATACTGAGTTTACTCCTTTACTCACTATTTTAAACATACAAGCATGCCCACTGACAGTTTTGTCTTCTTCCTATTTATCAGGAGCATTTTTCTCATAAACAGCTTAAATATGTGTATGCCTGTGTGTGTATGCATGTGTGTGTTCGTGTATTTTCTCTAGTGCAGAAGATCTAACCCAAGGCCTCATACATGCTAGCCAAGCACTCTACCATTCAGCTTTACCTCTAACCCCCAAATACGGTTTTTCACTGCCTATGAAATTATATTAATAAGTTTGGGCATTAAAATACACCTAACAGTTCTCTTTTAGTCAAACAAAACTTTAATAAATGCATCTCATACAACTAGAGCTCTTAATTCAACAACTTTTACTTCTATTCTCCTACTCACACGAACTTTGGAAGAGATGAATAAAGTAAAATAAAGCACTACTGTATCCAAGAAAAACTCCTGAGCGTATCTGAGGTTCCTATGCAGGTGAATCCCCTAAAATTTCTCTTGAATCCCCTAAAATTTCTCTATCTATGAAGCAGAGCAACACAGGTAATATTTATAACAGGCAGCACTTAAAAAGCTTCAATTATTAATGATTTGATTAAATTCTATTTCATTTGAATATTTTATTCAAATTTTATTTGATTAAATCTACTTTAATTATATATTTATGATGACAGAAAATAACAGTAATTTTAAGAAATTTTTCTGTAAGAGGAGACAAAACAAAAAGGACTCCATTAATTAAATGTTTGATTATCTAAAACAAATGTTCTCATATCTCCCAAATGAATAAATTTTTAAAAAATCTTTCAGTCTCTGGAAGTGGCTACAGATGGGAAAGAGTAAGAAAAGAAATTCCAATAAAATATTTAGATCTAACATTTTTGCTGAACCTTATTTCCTTTTATATTCTTGCTATGTTTCAAAAACAGATAAATGAAAAATAATATTACATGGAATTTGAATTTTTATTAATTTTTAAATGATAATATGTGGGCTAAAATATATAAAAATTTCTAATCTTTCATTGTGGAAAAAAAAATTTTTATTTGTGGAGTTGGGGACTGAACCAGGGCTGTGTGTATGTATAACCAAGCCTCACATCCACAAACCACTTTTTTTTTTTTTTTGGCGGTACTGGAGATCAAACCCAGGGTCTCATACACATTAGACAAGCACTTTACCATGGAGCTACTCCCTTAACCCTCAGTAATTTATTTTTTTTTTGGTGGTACTGGAGATCAAACCCAGGGTCTCATACACATTAGACAAGCACTTTACCATGGAGCTACTCCCTTAACCCTCAGTAATTTACAGTATTTTAAAACCTGCCTCCTGATGAGGACAGCTCCAGGGCACAGTGTTTACCAGTGGGCTCAAGGCCTTGGGATTGATCCCTGGCACCACAAAAGAAATATAGTAGAAATTAAAAGCTGCTTCTGCTGACATCTATAACACTTTGGGACTTTAGACTCAAGATAGAAATTAAAATATTTTTCAAGGAGAAAGTCATAGCTGTCTAAATGCAAAATAATATAAAATTACATTATAAATCTAATTTTAGAGATAAACATAAAACAGATCCTGAAATTAAAAGGTGCCGGGCTACAAAGAGAAAATACTTAGCAATCTGAGTAAGCATCACTACATTACAGTAGCAAAGACTCTACTTCTGTGCAGTAAAATGGGTACCAGAAAGTTAACAAGGAAACTGGAGTATAGACCCAACAGGTGCACAAAAGATCAGCAGAAAGAGGATACAGTGGGATCAGGTTGTGAGGTGGGGGCTCTTTAGCTGGAATCATTACATTCAAGGCAAAGTCAAAACAAATTCTGTGAAATGCATTACCCTTGTGCTGCAATAACAGGCACACTTTCACTGTAAGTCTGACGCCAACACTGTTCCCCATTAGAGCCTAAAAAACGAGTTTTTTCTGAAGACAAGATGTTAGAAAGCTGGATTCTTGCGATCCCCAGGAGCAAATCTTTACTCATTTTGTCCTTATGCCATAATTCAACCAGCAAAGGAATTCTAAGAAAAAGAGAAACATGTGTTCATATACATAATTCTCCACTAAAGTCTTTATCACTTAAACTTTTTGAGTTCCCCTAACGTAGTCAAAGACGTTTTTGTTCTCTGGAAAGTCATCTGCATAAAGGCTCTTACTTTAAATTCCACAAGTGACTAATATGAAGTACTGTTACATTTTCTACATCACCTTCTAGGTAATACAGAAAATTTTAAATAGCACTAGTCCCATGAATGGTTAGATAATTCGTAGCAACATTCTCCCTTTAATATATTTAGATTATAATGCCATAAGAAAGTAAAAGATTTCAAAGATCTAATTTTTTTATTTAAAAATCTATTTCAAATAGCTAAATTAATGTCTCCAGTTTATAAAAGAAAAAAGAGAAATCAACTAACTACAGCAAACAATGAACGAATCATTGAAGCTAAACATTCTTAGTTATCTCCTTATATTAGGAAAAGGCAAGACCTCTTTGCAAAGCTCACTCATTACTCACAGATTATTTTAACAAAGTTCAAATCTCTAAATTCAAGAAAATCAGTAATGAAAATCAGAAAAGAGCCTTTAATAATAAACCACATATACCTGTAGTAAAAGCATGGATATAACAGACATTATCAATAAACTTGTCTCTTGATCCTAAAATGTATGAACTGCTGTGGATTTAAACTATATAAATTCCTTCTTTTAATAAGATACCAATTTTAAGAGTTAAGAAATGAAAATACACACAGTGTATACATAACCTTAAGAAGGTATCTTGCAGCTGATGAGGCAGAGTTGCAAAATCAAAAGCACAGTAAGATTGGGGGAGAAAAACTTCCATGTTTTTCCGAACTTCTACAGGAGGATTCGTCATAATAGGAGCTGCACTTCCAAAAAACGGGTAAGAATACCTAGAATTTAAGAAATACAAAGTCTTACAATATGTTCTACAGATGAGACTTAGTCTGGTTTTATCCTGTATCTTATTATACATATGTAAAACTCAAATTTAAACAATACTAGTAAAAACTGCTGCTCCTAGAAAAAAAGTCCTGCACATTTACCCAATTCCTACACATCTACCGAAGTCAAGTCTTCTCAGATAGAATTCAGGTTCTATAATTTCCATCCTTACCACTGGCCTATAGAATACATTACCATAACAATAGATTGACAGTTCTGTGGGCTAAACTTATTTAAAAACCACAAAAATCTCACCAAATCCATAACACAGTTTACAAATCACGGCTTCATACCCACACAGAGCACCATAATTTAAAATTTACCAAACTGAAAATAAACAGCTAGCATTTTTTTAAAGTGCCTTAAATGGATAAAAGACAGACCCAGAAACTAATGAATTCTATGCACAGTATTAAATGGTTGCAACTATTTATTTCCTGGATAGATTGTTATTTCCCTTTGCCAAGTGAACAACTATTCTCCCTTATATAGTAACTAATTTGTGAATCTGTCTTACTAAATTGAGCTGCTTATGTGGCCCGTGTACCTCCAATGCCAAGCACTCCTGAAATAACGTAGGCCTTTACTGATTACACAAATGGTCCTGATGGCAAGAAGTAAACACAACAATTTATATTAGTGTTTTCTAAGTAGGTTTATTTAAGCCTTCCTCCCAGAGCAACAATTTTACATTCTGTTCTTGTGCTCCTTTCTAGACATACTGAGGCCAGATTCTCTAATAACAGCAGAAGAGGGAAAAAAGAATGAAGGGGGAAAAGACAAACCAGAGCAAGTAATAATTCTGTTTCTAAAATAGAGAAAACAAATCCTTTGAGAAAAATTCTGTTTCAGAGAGGAAATATTTTCTCAGTCTTTAATTTCCAAACAAAAACGTTTTAGTAGTAAGTCAGAATTTAACTGTAAACTGTAGAATTTAAGATGAGATGAAGACTTTGATTCTAAATATCTAAATATTTAGAATTCATATGCTCTCACTGGCAGGTCCCTCTGATTCTATCCATTATTCACACCAAAGAATAGAGGATCTGGAAACAAGAAAGAAGCAAACTGTTGAAAATTCAGACGCCAACATGAATTGACTCATCATGTCAAAAGCAGGTATGCCTCAAATAATAGCAGGAAACCCTGTGCAGTTAATAGACCTGTAGGCTCACCATTTCAAAATGACAAAGATCTTCTCACTTTACGCATCATAATTCCAGACTTGAAGTCATGTTCAAAAGCTACGCTAATAAAAATAGCCAGGTACAGGCACAAACACAGGTATGGGGATCAATGAAACAGAATAGACAAAGCAGAAACAACCCCAGAAACAAACCAGATACATCCAGCTATTTGATCTTTAACAAAGGGGTCAAAAACATACAAGGTAGGAAAGACAACCTCTTTAACAAATGGTGTTGGGAAAACTGGCTATCCACATGCAAAAGATGTGAATTTAGATCTGTACCTCTTGCTGTGTACTAAAATAAAATAAAAAGAATCAAATAAAAAAGAATCAAATGCCTAAGTACTAAAACAGAAACAATCTGTTAGAAGAGCAAACTGGTAAAACTCTGGAAGACATAGGCATAGGCAAGAACTTTCTGAGAGAACCCAAACTGTACAAGAAGTAACATCAAGAATCAATATACAGGCTAGTATACCAAATTAAAAAGCTCTGGGCAGCAACAGAAACTATCAAGAGTGAAGAGACAGCCTACAGAATGGGGGAAAAAATTGCCCGGATATTCCTCAGGCAAAAGACTAATATCCAGAATATATAAAGAATTCAAAAAATTAGATTCCCTTCCAAATAAAAGACTCAATCAAAAAATAGGTAACTGAAATGAAACAAAATTTCTCACAAGAGGTACAAATGACCAATAAATACACGAAAAAATATTCAACATCTCTGGCCCCAAGAGAAATGCAAATTAAAACAATACTTAGGTACCATCTTACTCCAGAAAGAATGGCTATCATCAAGAAATCAAATAATAATAAATGTTGGCTTGGCTTCACGGATAAAGGAACTCTTCTACATTACTGGTGGGGATGTAAACTAGTACAATCACTATAGAAATTAATATAAAGATTACTCTAAAAATTAAAACTAGAAATTTCACTCAACCCAGCCAGTCCTCTATCTTCCCAAGTTACAGACATCGTATTACAGTGATACATGTATACATCCATGCTTACAGCAGCACAACTCATACTATATAAGTCTTGGAAGCAACCTATATGTCCATCAACAAATGAATGGATAAAGAATATGTGGTATTTATGTGTACTGGGTACTACTCTGTCACAAAGAAAGATAAATTTGTGTCATTTGTAAAAAAACTGATACACTTTGAGACCATAATTCTAAGGGAAATAAATCAGTATACAAATTTAAATACTGTATGGTTTCTCTTATATGACAAATCCAAAGTACAAATAAATTAAAGAGAAAAATAAAAGATAATAAAAAGGGAGACAGATCTTTTGTAAAAGGGCAGGGACCAAGAGATAGACAGAAGGCATATAGAGGCAAAGGGCAGGGAATGAATAAGAGAATTCAGATATGTTATGTATATGTATCCACTCCACATGGTAACCATTGTATACTGCATACATGTCTTCCCCACGAAAAAAGCAATAAGAGAAAGGGTACTACTCTCTTTCTAGGAGATGTTTTATTGGGTCAGAAACACACTAATAAAAATACCACCCTAGTTAAAAAAAATATTTTCTCACTTTAATCATAAGAAGACAAACAACTTGACTTCAAATGCAAATGACTACTTCAAAGAAACTTAAGGAAAAGATAAATATTCCAAATGCATTATTTTGTTATATTATAATATAATGTTAGTCCACTAAAGTCTTATGAAAATGTAACATCACTGAAAGCAAACCACTGTATGAAGACATTTAACTGGGGTATATGTGTGTATGTGTGTATACATAAATTTTTGGCACACTGGGATCAAATTTGCAGTTCTCCTGCCTCAGTTTCCAGTGTGTCATATCTGGCTCATACATATGTATTTATAATAAACACTGGATACATTCTATTCCAGCTCATTAACCACAGCTTTTACATTCACAGCTTTAAAATGCAGGTAACAATTATTACACCAGAAAAGAAAAGGCATTAACCAATGCCACTCCTGTTTCAATTCAAAGTCATCAGGGTACAGCCTTACCCCTTCAACCTACTGACTTAACACAAGTTATGTTTTTGGTGGCATTTCCCACTCTGCACTTCCCTAAAGGAAATGCATTTCTCCTCAAACAAAAAAATCATACCTTAATATACAGTTGACCGGAAAACCAAGTTCTAAGCCATGGATGCTCCTTAAGTCTATTGAAAAGCAAAAATGATGTGATGTTGCGGGAACAGCAATCTTCTGTGCTGAAGCCGTTTCTGAAGCATTGGATGTGGTAACTGGCTGGGCCAGTGAAGCAGGTATAGAAGAACTAGTGCCTAAAATGAACACACCACTTTTAAAAGGTTGTTCAGATAATTTAAAATTTTCATTTATCTGTATGCAAAGAATTTAACTTTTCTTTTATGAACATATGAGCTGAGGCTAATTATCTTAAAAATGGCATGCACAGAATTACCTAACCTTTGACTCTCATTCTAGAATTGTGTGAAGAGCAAGCTTACCCTCAACAGATATTGCAAAAACATGAAAACAAACTAAAACTGAAGCAGCAATGTCGGACGGACATTTCCAAGGGATAACTGTATACAACTGAACATCTGAAGGGGTCATACTTGAGATTTATTACAGATATAATTACATCACTATTTTGTACAAAGCAGTCATTGTTTTTTTAGGTATGGATTAAATAGACCAATAGGAAGCTAAAACTTGAAAAAACAGAGCAATAAGAAGCTAAAACTTGAAAAAACAGAGACATTTAACCTAACAATATGACGAACCAGGGATGTTTAGTAATTGGCCCAAGTATACATCTCCTCAGTGACAGAACTAAACCTTGTTTCCAAAATTCTAACTCCAATCTACCACTATTTACTTATTTACTAATACTAACTCTAATTTCTAACTACGAACCCTTATGCAAAAGATGGAAAAATATTATAAAGCCAGATCCATGCATTCTCAGACTGTGGTTAGGATTTAAAATAATTACTACCAGCTTATAATAAGAGGAAGCTAATATGCCAATAGCTCTAACATGCCAATGGATTCTTTATTCAAGAGTTTAATAGTATAAAAATCTATTTGAAAGATCTATATTCTTTCTTTAATTCAGTAAGCTTAAATAGATTACAATTAAAGTTAAACAGATTAAAGTTAAATAGATTACAATTACTTTACATTGAAATGTTTTATGTTACCACCCCATTACTGGTTCTTAAAAACTCTAACTTTCATTTAAAACCCATGACAGTTCTGATGGCCACTGTTTAATTGGACGGCTCCAAGATCAAATACCAGAGAGCTGTGTGACAAGAACACCTTACCCTTTACATGTGACTTTGCATCCTTGTCGTACTGCAAGCTTTCGACTTCACTTTCTGTGGCACCATCTTTGGCTGGAGATGTCTGGTTGTGAGGTGCTGCAGGGGACATGCTTGGTGATCTGGGACCAGTAAGTGTCTTCTCTTTTACGGGGGTTAAAACACTCTTCTTTGAAAGCTCTGGCTCATGCCCATTCTGGGTCTTTAATTCAATTAAAGACTAAAAACAATGTTTAAATAAAGTATAATTTGCACAATACTTTTCTTCAAAATAAGCAAAAAAGTTGGCTTTAAAAAAAATAAGCTTCCTCTGCCAGTTTGGATATACCTAGTCTATTTTTCTTCATAATCTGCAAAGTTCCTTATAGCATGTAGGACTAGAAAAAGATAAACAGAAAGGAAGTATAACACCCAGAGCTGAGTACCAAAATGTATCCTACCGGGTAAGAAGGAACATGTGCAAAAGTCAAGAATATATGACCTTGGGAACAGTGATTCTTACCAAGGCAGTACAATGAATACTGTACTCCTAAAGGGAAAAAACAGATTTTCCTTCTGTCCATTTCCCTCTGACTATATATACATATATAAACATTCTAACTTCTCATTTCAGCTTTTGTATCTTTAATTCACAGTCTACATATAGATTAATTCTTTGAGAGAACAAAATGTTAAAGCTGATTCTGCAAAATACATAATCAAAAAATATAGACATTCAAATAAACACCCATCTCTATTGAAAAAAAACTGCCTAAAAAGAGTACGCTAACTATAAAGTGCTGATGAACCAAGAGTCTTCTTCTAGCTGAAGTCACGCCAGCCAAAACAAGACCACTAATAAAGAGTCCCAGAAACCAGATCTACAAACAATTTTGTCAGTTGTCCTTCTGCCGCAATCAATGGCTCTGAGCTGGAAGTAGGGAAGGTATTCTACTACACAAGACGAGCTGAGAAGCTAAGAGGGCTCTGAGTGCAGTCACTTATGAACTGTAAAGTAGAAGCTACTGAGTCAGAAACACTCCTGTAATGGCAGCACTTGGGAGGGTGAGGCAAGACTGCCATGAGTTTGAGGCCAGCCTCGGCTAGAGAGTGAATTCAAGGCAGCCTGAACTACATAACAAGACTCTGTCTGAAAAAATAAATAAATAAAACAAAGCGGGAAACACTGCACTCTTTTACAAGGTTCATTCAGAAAGGAAGAATCATTACATAGACCACTAGTTAAGAATAATAAAGATACTCTGAGGACAGCTCACTCTTTGGAGGCTCAGCTTTTGTTAAGCATGAGTGACACTGGAGGAGCTAGAGGAACATAAGGGGAGGTCACTACTTGCCTGGCAGTCGATGCCTTCTCTCTGCAGAGCCACAGACACTCCCACAGTTGGCGCTAGCTCTAGAGGAACAGGAGCGAGCTTTTGTTTGGCTCGGTTTGGAGGGTCAAGGATAAAAGCACCCTCAACTGTGAGTGGGTGCTGGTTGATTTCTGTACTGCCCTTTTGCAGTAGGCCATTTAAAGGTATTTCTGTACTACCAAGTGACTGGTCTCCACAGCACAGATGGATCTAATTTGAAAGGGAAAAGCAAAATGAGGCTTTATCTCTTCTCTAAATACCATAAACAACAAATTACAAAATGATTCATAGGGGAATATGATGAAGGCCGACTCATCCACTTGTTCAAGGTAATTCTCACACAGGATTGTTAAAACCAGTGATAAAACAAAATTTACTAGTAAATCAAAAGTAATTTTCATTCCTTCTTTATTCCATTCAGTAACTTAGGCTATCATCCTTTTTTTTTCTCTTTGCTAAGCTATGGTCATTTTAATATTTCACTATGTTACTTTACCTATGCAAATTGTATAAAAAAGAGAATTTTAAAAATATCTTAAAGATTTTCTGATTTCCATTTTACTATTAATTTAAATGTAGTTCTGAAAAATACATCAGATAAGTCTAATTTCAAATTTACACACCTCAAGTCAGTTTGTTTTATTCACCCTTAAAACACCACTAGCATTTCTTTTTCTCTTTTCTTGCATTTCATGTTTTTACCTATAAAACAGGGATGAGCAGTAAAAGTAAGAGAGTACCTCTGGGGTAAAAGGTACTGTTAATGATAACTGATCAGAAGTTCAATACTACCACCTTTTGAAAATTAAAGAAAAAAAAAAGACTGTTCCAGCTCTGTGTTATGTAACTACTCTTCCTCCCCCAGTACTGAAGCCCTGAAAGACAACACTGTGAAGAATGAGCTAGCAATACATTTTTCAAAAATATTTTTTGCTCAAATATCAATAGTGATTGGTTTAACAGAGAGCTGGAACTTAAGATGCAATATATTAGATATAATAATTCTATGGGCTAAAGACAAAGCATTTTTAATGACTTAAATGTCTATTAGCAAACTAATGAAGTTAATGCTTTTGGTAAAGACTGAGGAAAAACTAAAACTCAGACTACTTTTTCCTTTATTTTATTAGTTTATATAGTATTTAGTTTTCTAAATTATCTTGAGTTTAGCAGAATCATTTCTAAAATTTAGTACTAAAATTTTTAACATATTTTCTCACATCCTGCCCCCCAAATAATAATTGCCCAGTTTAATAACTGAGATTTCTTTGAACAAATGGCTGCCCCTATTCTTATTCCTACTGAAATTCAATCAAAAATAATTATCATAAATGTAATTTCCACTAAACTTTACTTTTAAATAAAAATCAATTTAAAGAGTTACAAAAAGGCCTCAAGGAGATAGAGGCCTTTTTTAGAAACATATCTTTATCTCCGATTTAATGGCAATAAGGTACATTCTGAAATCTCAAGTATGTGATCTGCATTCCCATACTAAGCCTCTCCACCAATAAGGGAGGAACTTTGCCTCTGGCCATAGCTGTGGTCTCCAGGCACAGCCTTTTACTGTAAAGGATATACCTCTTCTTTCAATAACTGGGCAATTTGATCTTATCTCCTAAAATTTGAATAACAATAATTCTAAAGATTTAGATAATACCTAAAAAAGTAACAAATATGGCAGAAATATCTCCATTATTGAAATAAGACAGATTAACTTCTAGTTTAGTACTAAACAAACATTTAAAAAACCATCTTTAATAAAAAATAATTTGCTGTACTACTTACCTGTAGTTTAGGCTGCAGAGCCAGGTATACACGAAGGATTTCTACACTGCTACGTATGCGAACAGATGCTCTCTCTGGCTCAAAGTTTGGGTTGATTAAATCATTGAAGGGTTCATTTGTAACATCATTTCCCAGTAAAGAGTAGTAAAAGAAAAATTCAGGCTGTCGTTCTGGAAGCTTCATGGTACATGGAATTAACTAAACATTTAAGGAAAAAAAAGTATTATATTTCTAAATATAATATGTGTATACACTAAATATGTGTATATCCCACTCCAAAAATATTTCCTAAAATGTTAATTTTTTGTCTAACAAATTCACAACAGGGCTGTAATTCATGTGTCTCTCTGCCAGACTTATTGAACCACTAGTGCTGTGCATGCATGATTGCTCCACTGGGTAGACTTTTATTAATTTTTTTAGTAAAAAGGTCAACAAAAGTGATTAGATCTGTTTGTCTCAGCAGTAGTATAAGCTAACCCATGGGGCATTCACGCACGCACCACCTATGGTTCAAGGTAGTGGGAATACATTAAGTCTTAAAATTAACCACTCAGTTGGGTATGATGGTTGAGGAAGGAGAATAACCATGAATTCAAGGACAGCCTGAGCTACACAGTGATTTCAAAGCCACCCTGCACTACACAGTGAGCGCCTATCTCAGACAAGATTGGGCGTGTTCAGGGTGATATGGCTGTAGACGTGACAGCCTAGCTCAAAAAATAAAAAAACTGGCCACTCAAAATTGTAAATCTCTGCCAAATTACTAAATTACCCATTCAGTACTGTTTAAACAGTCATCTTTTAAAAGCACAGAGACTAAAAGACTTTTAACAGGTTACACTGTTTTAAATTTTTCATTTCACCTAAATAATTCATGAATGAAAGTGTGAACAGTTTTAGAAAAGTCAAATATTTTAAACTAAGCTTTCCTCTTCACACATTTCATCTTACCCTTATTCTATCAATAAAGGCTCCATCTTATAAATGAGAAAAGGTTTTAAAAAATCTTAATCTGGGCTATTTTTTTCTCCTTTTACCACCCATCTCCTAATCCAGGCTACTTAAAATGTCTTGAATATAGTTAGGTATCACTCAGTATGGTTGCTAAATACTGATATGCTCACATGAAAGTTACCTAAGATATAATGTTAGGTTAAAAAAAAGTTACAGTAGAACTTAAGGACATAAATGTAATTACTTAGGTTATAACAGCGCAGTATCAGACACATAATATTCAGAAATGTAAGTTATTGTTTTAGTCCTACACTTAGAAATATACCACTGAATTGAGTAGTTTTAAGCATGTGATATATATACAACATATATATCATGTGTATGTGTACAGACACCCATAAAGCTATAAATTCTGGAGTTAGATTCCAGCCCTAATCCTGATTCCATCAATGAAATGTTGTGAAACCTTAGAAAAATAACTTCAGTGTTCTATGCTCCAACTCATTTAGGGTCGTAGGAAGTGTTAAAAAAGAAAATGCCTGTTGCATGCTATGATAGTGCCAGTCACAGGGTTAGCTGTTGTAATGTGAAGATGAGAAAATATCAAGGGAAAAACACATTTCCCTTAACAATGACAATTTCAAAGTGTAATCAGAAGAGACTTACGTATTTTTTTATTTCTTCCATAATCAGAAAGCAATAAAAAATGTTAAGTAATAAAAGTGGCCCTTATATATTTCATGTACCTTTAAATAATTCTCACTATTGCAAGCTATTCTTTTTAAGATCTCTCATTTCTAGGCATGGTGGCTCATCCCCTTAATCTTAGCACTCAGGAGGCCTCCGCAGAAGGACCAGAAGCTATATGGTGAGACCTTGTCTCAAAACAAAACTAACAAAACAATAAATACTTCTTTATTATCCTGGAATTTAGAGAGACCACAGAGTTTCTTTTATTCTCTTAATTTTCAATATTTAAGAAAAGGAAGAACATAATCACCATCAGTCTTCTTGCTCCAGTGTATCCTTCTGGACTAATCACTGATTTGCACCTAAGAAGCTATGTTGGTATAATGTCTTTCACTACGTTGAGAAGAAAGAACCAATGTGGATAGTAAAACTAAGTGGATAGTTTCACTCTGAACCATGACAATGTAGCCAGTCAACTATAATGTAAGCAGTCGCAGTTCCATTTATTTCCTCCTGCTCTCAGCTGTGGGATACCACAAATTTGCTTTTAATCTCTACAGTTTTTTGCCTATTCAGAATATTTTATATTCGTAAAGTGAATCATACATTGTGGCCTTTTATGCCTGACTTTCTTCACGCAGCATGCTTTCAATAGTCATCTATGTGTAGCATGCTGCAGTAGTTCCTTCTTTTAGAGCTATGGCTGTACCACATTTTTTCCATTCTCTGCTGATGGACATCTGGGTAGTTTCTAAGATGAGTAGTGGTGTTATGAACATTTACATGTAGGCATTTGTTTTGACACCTGTTTTCAATATGTTTGCATGCATATTCATAACTGGAATTGCTGGGTCACCTGATAATTGTTTAGCATTTTGAGGAACCTGTCTGGCTTTAATTTTTACAGAGAGCACCTTTCTAGACATCTCTTTCTCTCTCTCTGTGTGCATGTAGAAATTAAAGCGGAAGAGTAATTTGTCCCAATAAGTCACCTATTACTAAAAACTTTATTCGTTTCAGTTGTGGACTTCAGAGGTAAGTTATGCACAATAAGCTTTTATCATCCACATGTAGCTTCTTACACAGAAACTACATGAAAAATACTTCACTATTATAACATTCCTCATGCACTATCTGCAAAGATGGCACCACAGGAGTATCATGGCTACACTAAGAACAGTCAAGCCTCAGAAAGGAAAGGAACTTGCCTAAGTTAAAGGAGCTCGTCAATATTGCGATGAGATCCCAACTAATATCTGTCTTACTCTAAATCCTGTAAGAAACAGGACAGCATAACATAGGAACAGAAAGAATGGGGAAAATAACCATATAGTCAGAAATATTTGGTCCATTTACTTGCTATAAAATCTGCCTAAGATTGGGCTACCTTACCTCTAAAATGAAAATAATAATCCTCTAAGGTTGTGGTAGAATTATATGTGAGATATGCAAAACAGCACAAGGTCCATTATATAGCACACAGAACACGGTAAGTGAGCAATAAATACCAACCACTGTGCTTCACCATGGAGGCAAGAAATAAAATGGCAATTCAAACTGGTGCACAAATACGTCAACACAGTAAAAATATGGGAGACTCCTGGTCACCTGACACGTGGGAATGAGTGTTCTCATGTGGCTTAATAAAAAGACAACTTTCTCAACAACTTTTAGGGTGGCATATTAGCTGAGGCAATTTGTAAGTAGAGATTTATTAAGAGAAGAAAAATAAATAAATTGATGGGGAAAGAGAAGAGTACACCTATTAATGAGGAAGTGACAGCACTAGACTGGAAGAAAAAGAGTAAATAAGAATCCAAAGAAAGAAAGCTGATATATAATAAATAGTACATATATAAATAGTATATACACCATATAGTCTATAAATAGTATATATGATATACCCACACATACATACATATATGTATGCATATATATAAACACACATATATATATGATATGCTATATATATATGTATGTGTGTGTGTATATCCATCCTTTTTGTAGTGGGCATGACTTATGTTACAAAGTAAATGCATCCTGAGAAAAATTTTACTTGAGAAATCTTGAAAGTCAAATAAAAACATAGTCACTGATTGCAAATTTCTCTTGTGAATGTAGCTCATGTGGGAATTTTGTGACTCTAAGAAAGTGACTAATAAAAATTTGAGTCATAAGCCAATTAAAAATATTAATTCCAGCTACTACAGGCCCATACAATGTCAAGAATAGTGGACTTAATCCTGAAATAGGCAGTAAAAGAAGAGCTAGTTCTGTACTGTGCACCACTGGGAAGAGTCCATCCACCAAGACTACCCTGGCATATGCATATGACAAGACTGCAAGGTCCTGACTAGGTTTTTAACCAGGGTGCTTTGCAGGGATGTTTAGATAGCTGGTAACCCTGAGAAATTAGGTAACATGTCTTCTCACACAAAGAGCAGAACTATTTACTGCTTACAGTAAAAGTGATGCATTACCCAAACTGATTTTTCTCAGCTGTGCAGAAATCCATTGTATGCCCCTGTGTGCAGTCTCTGTGGGACTTGGAGTAAAGAAACCTGAAGAAAATATACTGATAATTATGTTGTCTGTTATGCTGAGACTAAAAGTCCTTTGGTCTCACTAAGAACCTTTTGTCTTCTGCCAGTATTCAGAACAATACAGGCTAACATACTAGTATTTTAAAAAGGTAAAATATAATCATAGATCCAACAGTATGAACAAAGTGTTACTGTAATTGCAAATAACTCCAGAAAGTACATGTAAAAAGCAAATTCAAAAAATCCTTTCATCAGTCCTTCAATGCCATATGGTGCAAGGGAATAGTTATTGATGGTTATATTTATTGATGGTTATTTTCCTAAATCCTGAAGTCTAATTTATTCTCTCACTGCCAAGGTATTGAAATCCAGTCTCTTCCTAAAGCTAGGGTGCTTTTTTATAAGAAAGAAAATATTTTTGAATGCTTTTTTAAAGAAGTCTACTGGAAATAATTTCAATATCTAAAAGGTAGTATTTATAAAATAACATGCTTTTAAATCTTTCATGAACAACTAATCTTGGAATGTCTCACCTGCTCCAATTGGGTGGCAAATGCTATGGTCACTGACATAATGAAGGAGTCAGTACAATACTCTGCTGGTCCAATCTGATGATAGCCTCCTTCCTCATTTAGCACTGCTACAATGTCCTTTGGGTCAAGTCCAGGCAGGCTGGCAGGTACTTTACACAGAAAAACACAATTAAATTACAGTTTGCATACACTACTGTAATATTTTAGAAACACAGTATTTTTAAATTTGCTTGGCAATATTTGTGGATATAATTAATATCTCAAAAGGTTTCCTTTAATTTCTTACTCTCCAAGGAAATTTTCTTTAACCTTATTCCGTCTGTATGTAAGAATTAGAATATAACATTTTTAAAATTTCAATTTAACAAACCATACAGAAAAGGCATCTAACATGAGTGTCCTAGTGAACCTAAACTGGGAGGTGAAGAATAAGTAGACTTAGCTAACAAGAGAAAGATGACTAACCAGAAAACAGGGGAATGACAGTGTGTTCCAGACAGGGAGAGAATACATACAAAAACACAGAAGTATGAGAAAACATATGGCTGGAAAAGCCGAACAGGTGTGGTCTGCTGGATCACCGAGTGAGGACTGACCTATAGACAGAAGTGTGGTTGGAGAGATAAGCAGAGGCTCTATCATGAAGGGGCTGCCTGAATACTGCAATGAAACATTTGGATGGGTTTTTAAGAATAAGGGAAAACATGAAACAATTGAGAATCACTAATATAATCAAAAAAGTTTCAGCATGAAAAGACTAGACAAGAACAAGGATTTTCAAACTGCATAAAATATACACACCGTAAAATAACAGATAATATCCAGTGTTGGGGGAAATGCAGAAGCAGGCACTTTCTACATACTAGTACAATGTATTGAAGGGTAACACATTAATGTTTACCAAAATTCTGTCTATTCGTATCACATAAACAAGTAATTCTTCTAGAAGTTAATTCTAAAGAGATGTTCTTACCATAATATTAGCTAAAATAATGTAAGTGTTAAGAGCACAAATATTTAAGTCACGTAGACCAATTGACCAGTCCCAGTTGTCTTTAGTTATATCAGAAAACAGTATGATCTCCTTTACCATCTATTTTTTCTTCTGCAAAGCTTTTGTGTGGCTGTCAAGAACACCAAATTAAACACTGCAAGTAAGACACTTAGTGCAGTATCTGATATATTAATTACTTTAATAAAGGCAGCTATTATATGATAAGGACAACAGAGCCTAGAAATTAAAATAATAACTATGAGAGGTTTCTCACGGTCAGGGAGGAGTTATCAATATGCAACAGAGAAAAGTAGCAATAAATCTTGTGCAGGAATGGAACTGAAAGTGCAGTGTGAAGCCATGCTGTTTCAAATCATACAGAAAATAAATACAGATGGGAAGGTATATATATGCTATGTTTAAGCATGTCTCCACCAGAACTCAGGAGTTGAAATTTATGACCAATGTGATGGTAGTAAGAGGTAGGGCTTTTAGCAACAGGTGATGAGGTCAGGAGAGCACCTCCACTGTGAATAGGATGAGATGCCCTCATAAAAGAGCTTGACAAGAGTGAAATCCTCTCTTTCCCTTGGGCCCTCCACCTCACAAAATGGCAGGGCCTAATCCTAGACTTTCCAGCCTCCAGGAATATAAGGAGTAAATTTCTGATCTTTATAAACTACTCAGTTAGTGGTAGGCTTGCAGCAAAAAATGGGCTAAGACTATCTATTTATTATGGATAGACGGACAGAAGGATGGATAGCTAAATCCAGGACTGAGACTGGGAAAGATGAGTCTAGAATATCTTCTTGTGCCAGAAAACAAGAAGCTCAAAGAATTACACAGACAGTGTGACCTGTCATCAAACCAAACTGAACCTCAAACTGGAGATAAGTTTATTGCTTTGAATGCATATATTAGATAAAATCTAAATTCAATTATCTAAGCTTCCACCTTAGAAGTATTTTTTAAAAAATGAAAGCAAATGAAGTCCAATGAATAGAGAAGAAAATAAAAATTAGAGCAGATCAATAAAACAGTACAGCCACTGAAGATAGGAAATCAGTTGGGGGGAAAAAAAAATAAACAAAACCATCAGCTATTTCTCTGAAAAGACAGAGCCAATTAACCTCTAAACAAAAAAAGTGACAGAACACATGTTACTAATACCAGAAATGAAAGAGAGGACATTTTTACAAATCCTATGGACATTAAAGGGAAAATAAAGGAGTGCTGTGAACAAGCCTATACCCAGAAACTTAGTAACCTAGGTGAAAAGGACTACAAATCACATAAGAAGAAACAGACTATCTGAGTAGGGGTATATCTACGAGAGAAATAGAAATAATTATAATCTTCTAAAACTGAAAGCACATCTAGACAAGTTTGCAGGTAAATTTTATCAAAAATTTAAGGGAGAAATTGTATCAATTCTCTACAATCTCTTTCAGGAGATAGAGACTATTTCCTAATTTATTTATCATCAGCATTATCTGAATGCCAAGATCAGACATTACAAAAAAGAAAAAAAAAAGCAAAAGAAAATACATGTCAATATCTCATGAGCATACAAGCAAAAATCTTTAACAAAAATATTAGCACATCAAATCTAACAAAACACAAAAAGAATTAAACTATATATCCTGACCAACTGGAATTTATATTGGGTATGCAAACTTGTCCAACATTCAACATGCAAAACTCAATTAATGTACTGATAATATCAACAGGCTAGAGAAGAAAAATCACATGGTTGTATCAGTAGATGCAGAAAACACACCTGATAAAATCCAACACTCATTTGTGATAATTAAAAACAAACAAGTAACACACATCTCTGCCAACTAGGATAACAGGGAAACTTCCTCAACTTGATGAAGAATATCTATCTATATAAATCTTACAGGTAATATTATACTTAATGGGCAGAAATTCAAAAAAGTGTTCCTTCTAAGATCATACTTAAAGTCCTTGGTAGTGCTGGAAGGCAAGCAAAGGTATCATAGTAGCAAGAAAGAAACACTGTACTATCTCTTTCAGTAGGTGACATGATTATTTATGTAGAAAATCTACGTGTGGAAAGACTTGCAGAAAAAGTCTGTGGTTAATAATGATCACAGCAAAGTGACAGGATATAAGGTTAACATATAAAAGTCAGTAGAGTTTTCCAATACACCACAATACACAGAATTTTAAATAAAAACATTTCAATTGACATTAACACCCCTCTAAACTGCAAAACTTAGCTATAAATCTAACAAAAATATATATAAGATCTGAGGAATTCTAGTAAATTTCTAATAGAAGAAAATTCTAATAAAAGAAATAAAAAAATTTAAAAGGGAGACTGTATGTTCAGGAATATGAAGATTCAATATGCTAGCTCCTCCCAAGTTGACCTACAGATTTAATGTAATCCCAACCAAATTTTAGAAAATTATTTTTGTGGATGCTATGAAACTAATTCAAAAGTTTATATATAAATGCAAATGACCCAGAATGGCCCATTTCAACATTAAAGATCAGATTCTAAAGACTAATACTATCTAACTTCAAGACTTATTATAAAGCCACAGCAATTAAGTACAGTTAGGTGATGTTTCATAAAGAAGCAAAAGCAATCAATGGAGAAAAATAGTCTTTCCAACAAATGTTGCTATAACAACTTGGTGTCCACATGTAAAAGAAAAAAAGAATCTAGACACAGCTTACAACCTTCAAAAAATTAACTCAAAACAAATCATAGACATATGTGTAAAATGCAAAACCAAAAAATTCCTGGAAGATAACAAGAGAACCAATAATTTTTCTGATATTCCAACAAAGGCACAACCCATGAAGGATATAATTGATAAACAGATGAAAAAATTTAGAAGTCCTGTGAAAGCCAATGTCACAAGACAAACAAGCTCCAAACAAGCTCTGGGAAACACATCTGTTAAAAATACACTTGATAAAAGACTGTTATCTGAACTGACAAACCCATAGCAATAAGAAAACAAACAATCAGATTAAAAAACAGGCCAAAGACCCAAACAGACACCTCATCAAAGATGTGGCAGATAAATAAATGTAAGTATATTCAGCATAATATGTCACTGAGAATTCTGAAATTAGAAGAACAATGAAATACCACTATACACCTACCAGAATGGCCAAAACCTGACAAACTGACAACATCAAATGCTGGTGACAACATGCACACTAAGCACTAAGCAACAGGAATCCTCATTTACTGACAATGGCAATGTAAAACAGTACAGCCATGTTCTAAGATGGTTTAGAGACTTCTTACAAAACCAAACATACTCTAATCACAAAAATCTAGCAATCACGCTCCTTGGTTCTACCCCAACTGAAAACTTAGGTCCACACAAAAACTTGCACATAAAAAAACAAAAACAAAAACAAAAAAAACTTGCACATAGATGTTTATAGCAGCTTTATTCATGACATCAAAAATTGAAAGTAACCAAGATTTTCTGTAGTTGCTGAAAGGGTAAACAAGTTGTGGTACATCCAGACAATGAAGTATTATTCAGTACTAAAAAGGAATGAGCTATCAAGCCATGCACAGACATGGAGGAATCCTAAGTACATCAAATGAAAGACATCTGAAAAGGCTACACAGTGTATAAGTCCAACTAAACGACATTCTAGAGGAGGTAGGGAAGAAAATAGGAAGGTTTCACTAAACTACAAAAAAACAGAATAGCATATCTTTCTTAAGGCATTCCTATAGTCATTCTAGAAGTAAATTTACTTACACAGCAATCTTTAAAAATAGACAAATTTCTTTGTTCTATTATATATCAAATGAGATTTTCCTACTTCTAAGATTTGTAAACAACAGCTAGAGCAACAGGTGCCGCCTATGTAAAAATGTCCCAATATTTGTCTGAAGCACTACAGTGAAATCAGTTTACATTCCTGCAGCTATCTCCTCCCCAGCCAAAAGTGCTCCTCCACACAAACCTTTTCCATCTCGAGGCGGGGCTCCCTTTGCTTTAAAACTATCCACTGGGGCCTTTGTATCTGTTTCCAAGGTGATGCTTATCTGTATTTCAGACTTGAACTTGGTGTATTTGTTACTCAGCAACTGGTACCACTTTGGTGCCTAGAGAATAACGACAATGCAACAACTTAAGAGTAGGCAAAGACAAGTGCGGTAGCACACACCTGCAATCCCAGCACTTAAGAGGCTGAGTCAGGAGAATCATCATTAGTTCAAGGCCAGCCCGAACTACATAGTGAGATGCTGTCACAAACAAACCAACCAACCAACCTGAAAAATACATTTTTAACTACTTACAGATTTCATATTTTTTTCTGTTACACAATTTCAAAAAAGTAAATCTAGATGTTTCGATTTATAGACAACGAATTTATTTTAAACTTCAAACATTCTTCTAGCCAATTTCAAATTTATCTGCTAGCAAAGAAAGGAAAAACATTTTAGTTTTCCAAAAATAAATGTAATTTTGAACCATTCTCCTGAACTTTGCTCACAAAGATGATGACAGACTATCCAGAAGACTACACAAAGGGATGAGGAATGCCAAGAGCATGCACAGGTAGCATCTTTCCCTTAAACACACACCCCCTCACCAATTCACCTTCTGCGCAACACAGTGGCTGCAGAAGTGCCCTCCAGACACCTGTACGCTGCAGAAGACAAGGTGGGCAAGGGAACTGTTAGGGACTCAAGTAGGGCTTAGGGTCTAAAATCTTTTCCAGGGTAAGGTCTAAGAGCAGAGAGGTGATAAATATCCACAGATGGGGGAAAGAACAAGTTGTCTTTTTAAGTATTCAAAAATTTTACCTCCTTTTGAATGATTCCAATTTGGGGCCAATTTATCTGCAAATATCATACTCAGCAATAAAAATGTTAATAATAGATAAATCAGGTTTCTATGAAGAAAAACAAGATCAAATGAAGAATGGAGAGGGGGAAAAATGATGGAATTTAAAATAAAGAGGATTTTTTTTTAAAAAAACAGGGGATTGAACCTGGACCTTCACACTGAGCTATACCCTGATCCCTTTTAATTCTGAAACAGAGTCTCACTAAGTTGGAAAGGCTGGTCTTGCACCTATAATCTTTCTGCCTCAGTCAACCAGAGTCCTGGGGATTATAGACAAGAGCTGCCATGCCTGACTACTTTTTCAATTTTTCAGTTTTTTTGTTTTTAAGAAAGAGTACTGTGACCAAACAAAGACATTAAGAAAAACTGAAAGCTTTCTAAAGTCAATCACATAAAAAAAAGGTGGGAGAATACTTAAAAAGACCTAAGAAGCATGTTCAAAAATAAAAAGCACTAACACAGGAATCAGGACCCTGAGTTCTTTTCTTTGGGGAGAGGAGGTATTAACTATTAAATAATACTAAATGTAATAGTAGATGTATTAACTATTTGGGGAGAGGAGGTATTAACTATTAAATAATACTAAATGTAATAGTAGATGTGTCACAGTAAGGTCACTTACTCTAACTTAGAGCAAGTTACTTGACTTCTCAGGACTCAGGTTCTTTCTCTATAACACAGGAGAAATAACACAAATGTTATAGAGTTATTCTGATGTTTAAATGAGTTATTGTGGCAAAGTACTAAGAAAATTTCCTGACACGTTAAAAAACAATAATTTGAGTATTATAATATCATAAGAAACGTAAGGATTATGTATTTAAAGCAAACTGAAAGGGACCAATAAAGATGCTAATGTAAACTGAAAACTTAATTGAAATACAGTATTTTTATAAGCAGTACTCCTTCCCTGATATAATCTGCAAGGATGAAGAGGAGAAAAGCCAAGCCAGGAGGTTATCACAATAGCCAAAGAAAGAAACAACTGAGTTTAAGTTAAGTCACAGCAGTGAAGTCACCGCAATGAAAATGCAAAATAGTGGATCAAAGGGAAAAACAAACTGCAATGGGGTGACTACAAAGGAAGGAATGAGACAGCATCAAGGAACTCATATTTCTAGCTCATATATAAATGGAAAGAGAATGGTGAATATGTACTGAAGCAAGGAGGCCTGGGAGACCAGCTTTGGAAGAAAAGCTCAGGAGTTGAAAAACATTAAGCTTATGGCAATAGCAACTTCGATACACACTTGGGCTCAAAGGCAAGTTTCTTTGGGAAAGATAGTTCAAAGGAATGATTAAAAGGTTAGACTTCCAAAGCAAAGTCATAAACTGAAATACAAGATGTGTCACACTACATCACACTATATTAGAACCCATGACCTGTATCATTATGTAAGAAGTGTCCTATACATCAGAACCATGATCTATGTCAGATTCTGACAGTATATATTAAAAGCAGTGACCATTAACAAAACACCAAAAGGCAATACCTGCTTTGTTTCTTGGGCACTTCTCAAGTCCAAAACAATGTAACCTACAGTTTCCTTGGCTGAAGATACAGGATCCAAGGCAAAACACTGGAGTTTGATAGGAGTACGCTGTAGTCTGTAACATAACAATTTATAGAATAAATGTTTTTGTTATATTGAACTGACTTTCTATTATCCTTGACAAAATTGCCTATTATTATCCCCATGATTATAATTTTGTTGGGTCAACTAGAGAGTTTCTAAAAAATTCTTCAATTAGCAAGAATACAGTTATATCTATTTATGTATATACTAATATACAAAACGTCAAAATTTTAGTCTTTCATGTAAAGGAGTATCATCTAGGTCAACGTTGCTTAAACTTTTATAATCCACAGTCATCTGAAAGCCAAGAATTATCTAAGTCTTCATGATTGAAAATTATCTTCCTTAAATTGTACTGTTACTAAGAAAAAATATATATGCTTACAGCTTTTTGTAGCTATAAAAATAAACTGAGGATATAAACACCATAAAATCAAACTACTAAAATTTAAATTACTAAATTACTATAATTCATAGCAATGTTCTGTAAGATGTTCTGACTGGCATAACATGGGCTCTTTTGTGTTTGGAAACCACTGAGCTGAATGGACTTTGTCATCAATTTTACCTAGTGGAATTACTATTTAACTGCACTTACCATAAAACTTGCTTTTAAATTCATTTGTGCTTTTTCAGCTTACAGTGATCAAAGTGTACCACTTAGCACTAACAACTGCAACACAGCTACAAATGCAGGCCCCGACATCGCACAGCAGGACTCCGCCCAAGCAGATATTCCAGACACTACTAAGAGGACACGCAACATTTTGATATTTTCTAAGAATTTCATATCCCTTTAAATAAACGGACTCATTCAGCAGTAGAAGCAAATGAATTTCTCCCTGCTTTCCTTTCTTTGTTAGTTTTCTATTTTGATTTGATTTAGTATTGAGAAAGAGCAAGTACTGAAGTCATTATGTTTACCAGAAGCTATATTTTCAATCTTTAATAAAAATACTGCTGTTCTTAATTTTCTGGTTATAGAGTTCATGAAAAAATAAGATGCTATAACTTTAATTAGAAAGTATCCTCCAAAAAAGAAAGTGTCTCATATAATTTTTTTCATTGGATATCTCTGTATTTCCTTGGCAAGCCAAATAATCATAGAATAAATTAATACAAATAACAGTGAATTCCAATCCCTATTTGGAAAGCATCATCAAGGTACTTTTAGATTATCTGCTGTCTCATCTGTTAGCCAAAAGAAAGTTAGTTTAATGAAGTGGTTGAAAGCTTTTAGACTCAGACTCGAGCTAGACTGGCTGGGAGCTACCACCACTATCCAATGAACACACTTAGAGCAAGTTACCAAGCTATTTAACCTCTCAGCCCTGTTTCCTCATCTCTAATAGTAGAGAAATAATAACTTCATAGGATTATTCTGATGTTTAAATGACTTATTGCAAAGTATAATGAATGAAAATTTCCTTGCATATTAAAAAATACTAAAAAATACGATTATAGCTATAATGTAATGAGGTAGTATTTGTAAAAGCCTAAAAAAGAGAACAATTAAAAAAAAAAAAGAGAGAGAGACCAATAACGATGGTCATCTAAATTGGAAACAGCAGTCACCTGTGCTGATGAAGTGCTTTCCTATCAATTTCCCAGGCTAACTCAGTGGCAAATTCTGGCTGGTTAGTGTGGTCCACAGGATCAGTAGCCAACTGTTCTCCATCAAACTTTGCTTCTACTATAAGCATATGCTTTGGGCGTTTAGGGAAATGGCGACCTGAAGAAACAAGACTACAGATTAATTGCAAGTGTACAAAAATCAAACAGGATCATCTAGCATGTGTCTTAAAAACCAATACATGTTAAGAGCTGCTGACTTACCACACATTGCATAAACTAACACATACACCTTCAGTTTTATCATTCATAAAAAAACAGGAATCAAATTAAAAGTTATAATTTACATCAGTGTTTCTCAAGTATGAATGTGAGTATGAATCCTCTGGGAATACTGATCAACTGTGGGTTCAGGTAAAATTGGTCTATCATATAGGCCCAAGGCCCTGCATTGCTAAAAAGATCTTAGGTTATGTCAATGCTCCTGCACTTGGTTCCTAATTTTAAGCAGTAATGATTGCAATAACATCTGGAATGAAAGAGTTAAAAATGCACTTATCCCAGTATATTACCAGTATTGACATAGTGATGGAATTTTAGTTACTCTTTGGCTTTTTCGTGTGTGTTGATGGGAAGTGAACCAAGGGTCTTTACATGAAGGTACATCCATTGAGCTTTTCTATTTTGAGACAAGGTCTCACTAGGTCTCTAAGTTGCCCTTATTTTGAGACAGGGTCTTGCTAAATTGCACAAGCTGGCCTCAAGCTTGAGATCCTCTTGCCTCAGCTTCCCTAGCCACTGGCATTACAGGTATGGGCCACCACTCCTGATGATTAACTTAAGTAAATAAGTACACAGACCTTTATATCCTCTCTTCTACTCACACTGGCTCCAGCTACCTGGTTGGAATTAAATAGGTCAGATAGACCTGGATTGCAACCCTGTAAATTTCAACCTGAGGCTCTCATTTAAGTCTTATTTTTTAGGTATTTTAACCCCTCTGACCCGGTTCTCCTAATTAGCACTCAGATCTTTCTCTGGACCTCATTTTCTGCTACTCTAAAAAAATTAACAGATTCCACAAATGAATTTCAAAGAACCTGTACTTTCAGTCAGACTATCATACCAGTCACCTCCAATAAGCCTGAGAACACAGGACAGGCAGTGGAACAAGAAAGTGCCTGCTTCACCCAAAGACAACGAATACATTAAGAACAGAAACCTTGTGTCTTTCATCTTTGGACCTATCACATAGCTTAAATTTTGCTCATGGTATCAAACACTTTCTTTTAAATAAAGGCTTTTCTAGAAATGTAGCCAAAAATTACAAGCAGTGCAATGTAGTTGAAGGGCTGGGAATATATGAAATTGAAAAGGAAGGCAAGTGCGCTCCCATCAAGGAACATCTTTGCTATTGTAATGAGCAAAAATTATCCTTCAGGACACCAGAATCATTTAAGACAATCAGAAAGATTACTGCCATGTAGTGAAGAGCAGCAGATGTTTCTGGAAATGAAAAAAATACTTAGAAAATAGATTATGATGATCGCAGTAGGTTAGGCAGATACACTATTGAGGGCCCCTAATCGAGGGACTCACATTTGAAACTCCCTCAGCTTACATGTAGCACCTACTATGATTTAGAATTAAAAAACACAGTTGTCAACCACTTGGGAATTAGGAATGAAAAGGAAATCAAGGATGACAATAAATCCCAGTCCTCTGCCTAAGGCAGTACTGTGGTTACCATGAGATACAAACACAAGAGGAACACTTTGGAGGATCACATAACAGTTTTAGGTATGTTTGTGGCAACAACATCCCTGGATCCAGGTTCTCCTCCCCGTATCCTACTACGAAATTGAGCTTGTAAAGCACTCTACTTAGGACTATGATGTGTGACCAAAGACTATGGTGAACATTCCAACTATAAAAATGTATTACAGTAAGAGACATGTTACCAATAATCTACCAAAATACTTCCCTTCACTTTGAACACATTTATCCCACCATTCTTGCCACTTTTGGGAACAGTTCCGGCAATCTTCTTTCACGAGGGTCTAGTCACACAGTTGTGGCTGCCTCGATGTCCTGCACAGATGCAAAACATTACCTTTCGCTATCATTTTGACTCTGGAGAAGTCAGAAGTCACACAGTGCCAGATCCAGCGATGGATAAGGACATATCGACAAGCCTTCCTTTCTGCAGGATGGCAGTGGCAGGTGCATTATCTTATTTTTGATCACACTTCACAAAGACATTTATGAATGGAGACTTCAAGAACTGCTTCAAAAAGTGGCAAAAATAATGAGATGTGTTTGAAGCAAAGGGGCATATTCTGAGGGGGGATTAGAGGCAATGTGACTGTAATACTGTACATAAGCGCTCACTATACATTTTGATCATACTATGTTTTTGTTGTGAACCTGTTTCTTAGAATACTAATTCTAAAGTCTTCGGCTTTCAAGTTCTTCTAGAGCCTATTCACTCAACTAATGCAGTAATGGTAAATATCCCCTTCCTTTACTCCGGGCATCTTAGTGCATTCTTCTGTGTTCCACCCGACACGTTCATTCCCTGGCTGGCCGGGCTGTGCAGTCACCTGGAAGGACCTTCTATCCTTATCTATCTAAAAGCTTATGTGCTATTCTGGCCACTTCAACTGCTATACTACCCCACCTCCAAAACTATATTTAGTGCATATCACTTGTTTTTATTATACCGCTTCTCAACATATTTGGGTTCCTGCACATTAATTTGATCTCCAAGTACACAGACCTTTATATCCTCAAAGGGAAAGGCTTATATTACATTTGCTTTCCTCATAGCATAAGGCACAGCTATAACTCTAAAAATCTTTGTTAACCAAATTATAAGATGATTTCAGTCCTATATTTTAAACAGTAATCTAACAATATCGTGCCGACTCTGCATGCGTTTGATCAGTCGCTTATTCCAAAATTGAAAAATTAAGTTTACACCGTTTTTCTCTCTCATGCCCTAAGCAGTACCAGGCCTCTACACAATACTCATCCATGGGGGAAACAAAAATCCAGCCAAGCCTCCAGACAGCTCTCAAGATAACTCCCGATCTGGCTGTTTACAACCTGTCCCCAATTTATCTACCAAGTCCTGGGGCCTCTGCTCTCCTGCAATCTTCTCTCCAGCATAATGAATGCGGAGCAACACAGACACAACACGCCTTGCTTTCCCATTGGTTAGAGGCTCTCTGCTCTTCGCTTCACTGACCGTTCTTTTTTCCTCCTGACACAACCCAAATAAAAGCCACCTCCTCTGGCAAACCTTCCTCGGCTTCCCCACGGAGAGGGGGTCCCTGCCCTTGCACACGCCAGCAGTTGTTCACAGTCTCCGTGCCTGCCCTCAGCTTACAGACCCAGACGTCGCTCACTCACGCTCGGCCGGGCAGTGCCTGCACGCACGACTCCCCGAAGGACAGTGTCATTTACTTGTCACAACGTTAAGGAACAGAAAACACACCCCTCCGCAAGGACAGACCGCAGCCCCCCTCCAACACTGTCGGGGGAAGGGCCCGAAGGCTGGGCTGGCGGAGCAGTGTCCGATCCGGGACTAAGTCCCCGCCAGCGGCGCGGCCCGACGGAGCGTGCTCGGACACCGCCGC